GTCCCTCTATAACCCTTTCAGGCCATGAGGGTGTTCTGAACAAGCAGGTGAAGATAGAATGCTGTTAAAGGTAGGGCAATAAAATGCATTAGAGGACAGGAGCATCACCTGTGAACAAGTGCCACTTGACACTGTCGGTGTGGAGGGTGTGTTCTTGCGATGGCTGCCGTCAGTAAGTGGTGTTTCTGTAAGTATAGGCATACATTCTGAAGCTGACATTTGCAAAAGGACCACCTGTTACTTTCTACACTAAATCCTGCTTAACACTCACAACAGTATCCAGTTCAGAAAGAGTCTTCAGGCTGGACAGGGGAAAAGCTTGGAGTAGGAGAAACAGGAATTATGTGGGAAAGAGAATTCCAGCATTTGAAAGACTAGCTTTATTAGGAGACTGTGATATGATTTCCTTTAGTGGTGTCCTCAACTGTATACGTGTGTGTGTGTGTGTGTGTGTGTGTGTGTGTGTGTGTGTGTGTTCTGGTATAGAGCTTGTACTCAGGCCTCTTGCTCTCACTTGACTTATTTCACTCAAAGTTGGTACTCTACTATCAGAGCCACACCTCACTTCCAGCTTTTTGCTGGTTACTTAGAGGGAGAAGTCTCATGGACTTTTTTTTTTTACCTAGCCACTGGCTTTGAGCCACAGTTCTCAGATCTCAGCTTCCTGAGTAGCTAGGATTGCAGGAGTGAATGAGTGCTACCCGGCTTATACACATTTTTTTTTACTATTATGAAAACATTATACAAGAAGAGGATTTATGATCATCCATATCAATGCTGCCCAACCCATTTGGGCAACACATTCTTTTATATGAAAGCTTGACGTGTAATTTCTCTTAAAAATGAAAAGAAACAAGGGGTTACTGTGTTCTTCCTATTGTGGGAATTTTCCTGTTCAAAGATGAAGTGCTTGGGGACCTGGAAACTGCTGTTGTTTCTGATGAAAGATAGTCTTTTTAGACATGAGACAGTTTCACTATTCGGATGTACATAAGCTGAAAGTAATTTCTGGATCAACGTCTACTCTCCTGGGCACCATACTGTAGAGAGAAGTAAAAGCTTATTCTTAGACACATGTACAAGGCAAGTGAGTTAAGACCAGTGAGCATTTGGCCAAACAGAAGTTATGCCCAGGACATCAGTCAAAACTAGCTCTGGTTCCAGATTATGCACAGCCCCGACCGAGCCCCAGTGCACTGTTAGGAAACTGCATAGATATTTCTCAAAAACATCCTGAGTCCAAGAATCCCAGAATAACAAGCAGCATCTTTCCCTGCCGTCATAATGAAACTGTTCTTCTAACAGATTTTCCTAACCAGACAAAATTTTGTTAAACAAGATAGCTATTTATTTGGGAGACTTCTTGCTAACCCAAAGAAATTGGAGCCATTAGATTTCTTCCCCTGGTCCTTTATTCCTGTTTCATAAAACATATATATATATAATATATATAACCTATAATAAATACATAATATATAATAATGTGATTCATGTTTTATATATATATATAAGATAGTATTTCAGCTAGTAAGCTTCCTGCTACTAGTTGCAGAACCAATTTTCGTGTCCTTTATGCCTTATGTATATGAAAATTCAACTATCTATTTAAATGTTCACTAACCCAGGACATTTCTTTGGAGAGCCCTAGCCAGCTACAGGTAGCAGCCAGAATAAACTTGAAATGCAGAAGTCAGTAATGGAGATCAAGAAAATTGGCACTGGTCACTGGCCATTTGTCATAAAGAGTGCACAAATTTGTGATCACTTTGTGGTATATTAAATTCTAAAGAGGAAATGTATTGCCTGCAGGCAAGAGAGAGAGAGGAAGAAAGAATCCAGCTCTTAGATGAATTGAGTAAAACTGCCATCGTCAGGATTTGGGAGCTCGCCAGGGTCCCTGGGACTCCAAGCAACTCAGGGGATTGTCATGACATGCCAGTTAGAGGTGCCTGAGTCAAAAAATGGGCCACGCTGGCCATCCTAAAGGCCCACGTGGGAGTGTATGTAGGTCACTTACACGTCATGAATTTAGAGTTTACACAATTGTTTTACAACTAAGTGCTGAAGAAACACTGGACTGTTCTGATGGGGCTTTTTGTTTGTTTTTCAAAAGTGCTTCTTTTGCAATATATAAGAAAAATTGCTACATGCTCTTGAGCTATGGCCTTAGCGGCTCACTGCACTTGGAGGAGCCAGACAGAGAATTCTATGTGTGCCATCATCCTAGCCCAACCCAGTGCTGGCCATTTCCTTGGAGAAAGTTTGGAGCTGACAGAGAGGCTCACAACTAACTAAACAGAACAGTTCTCTTAGCCACAATCAACAAACAGAATTTTGAGTCAATATGGAAATGAAAAAAAGTAAAAGCAGTGCTCCTAAGCTGTGGGGTTTAGGAAGGGTTGTTTTGGGTTTTTTTGTTTTGCTTGTTTATGCCAGTCAGGACCTGGGCACATTAGCTTTTTCACTCAACGCTATCACTCCTGCCACTGAGCCACACCTCCATTTCTGGCTTTTTACTGGTTCATTAGAGATAAGGGTCTCATGGTCTTTCTTGCCTGATGGCATGAGCCACCAGAACGCAGCTAAGCAGTAGGGTTTAATCGCACAAGTGTTTATTGAACATCTGTCATGACCTAGCGTGGGAAGTGCAGGAAGTGAGCAAAGGAAAACAGGGAGACAGTTTTCCCAACACCGCCCTACATTGTTTTTCTCTTACCGGATCACCTGCCTCTTAAAACACTTCCCTCTGTTTTCACTCACTGGAAATCCTCCTGTCTTCCCACACATACAGACACTGTCATGGGGAACAAATTGGCTCCACGGGAGATGGGTGCCTAGCAAGACTCAGGCCTCTAAGGCACAGACCAAATTAGCAGCAGCACAACTCTGCCTTTGTTTATGCCAGCTGCTACTGTTAAATTCTTACTTAATGGAAGTATTTGTTTTTCCATAAATACATGTAAATTGCCTACCTCTTATTTGTCAGAGCCAAAGAGAACCCTATAAGTGGTAATCAAGGAATGGAGCTTATTTAAAGCAAATCACTATAATTGAAAATTCTGAGTACACGTTGTACCATCTTCATGGTTTATGAATTTGCCAATTGTTTCTGCCCCACCATTGTAGATTTCAAAGTTGCTGCTGAAATTTATTTTAATTGACAGTTGTGTACTTTCAAAGGTAATATGCTTATGATAGAAGAATTGTGTCTATAAACGCAAAGATTCTTTCCTTGTTTACTAATCAGCAGTGGTGCCTGGTGTTGGTGCTACTGGTTCACACCTGTAACCCTAGCAACTCAGCAGGCTGGATCTGAGGATCAAGATTCAAAGCCAACTCGGGTGAGAGTCTTTGAGGCTCTTCTCTCCAATAAACCACCGCAAATAAATGAATAAATAGCCCAAACAATAACAAAAAGTGCCGGAAGTAGAGCTATGGCTCAAGAGGTTAGAGTACTATGCCTTAAATGAAAAGCTAAAAGATAGGGCTGGGAAGGTGGCTCAGTGGTAGAGCGCTTGCCTTGCATGCTCGAGGCCCTGGGTTCGATTCCTCAGCATCACATAAGCAAAAAGAAAAAAGCCGGAAGTGGCGCTGTGGCTCAAGTGGTACAGTGCTAGCCTTGAGCTGAAGAGCTGAGGGACAGCCCCCAGGCCCAGAGTTGAGGCCCCATGACCGGACCCAAAAAAAAAAAAGGAAAGAAAAAAAAAGCTAAAAGATAGCACCCAGGCCCTGAGTTCAAGCTCCAGTATGGGCACAAAAATAATGGTGACTCTTAAAAGGAAGCTCCTTTCCATCCGTGCACACTGGCCTCTACTGCAGCACACTCTTCCTCCCCAGGCCTTCTTCCAGACTGTCCCTCCATCTGGCATACCCTTCCTGACCCTGTCACCATCCAGATCCTGTCACCTGCATCCTGCCACAGAAATGGCTCCCAAACAACTCTCTCTAGTGTCACTGTCCTTTTTCCCTCTGTTCACTCTCGTCGGGCACAGTTTTTATACCTGTTATTTCTTGCTGGTAGCTTTTCTATTTCTCCCTCTGGAATAGAAACTCCACAAGGACGGGTGTCTTACACATCTCATTTACAGTTAGTTGATCCTTGGTCCTCAGAGAGCTGAGCATGGTGGTTCCCAGCTTTAATCCCAACACTTGGCAGACTGAAGCAAGAGGATCACAAGTTCAAGACCAGTCTATTTTACATACATTGGGACTGTTTGAGGAAAAAAGGAAACAACTAAAAATGAATAAAGGACTTACCATATGAGAGACCATTGTGGATAAATGTTGGTTGAAATGAATGAATGGAAGGGGTTATGAGAATTAGTTATTTTAGTAGAGTGCTTGACATAGTAAAAACCCTACAAACCTGTAATCCTAGCTACTCAGGAGGCTGAGATCCAAGGATTGTGGCTCAAAGCCAGCCTGGGCAGGAATTATCTCCAATTAGCCACCAAATAGCCTGGAACTGTGGCTAAAGTGATAGAGTGTTAGCTTTGAGCACAAAAGCTCAGGGACAGTGCCTAGGCTCTGAGTTCAAGCCTCAGAACCAACACCAAAAAAAAAGACAATAAAGTGAAATATGTTTCTTTCCCATCCCTTCTGCCTAAGCACTGGGTATGAATGTTGATTCTCTCTCCTCTTCACTGTGTTCATGAGCATAGCACTCAGTTACATGAATACAGTAAATATACTTAATGAAGTATCTTGCTTTTGTGTTCATTTAAGAATAAGCCAGGCACCAGTGGTAATCCTAGCTATTCAGGAGGCTTGAGATATAGGCATCCTAGTTCAAGCCAGCCCAGGCAGACAAAATCCATGAGATTCTTACCACCACTTATCCAGCAAAAACCTGAAAGTAGAGCTGTGGCTCAAGTGGTAGAGTACCAGCCTTGGTTAGAAAGCCAACTGGGAATAGAAGATCCAGAGTTCAAGACACAGCAATGGCACAAATATATATATACTCCATGAATAATAGAAAAAAAATTATCTCTATTTTTCAGGCAGTCCTTGCTGGAAGGAACCATGAATTGGCACTTTGCCTTTGTCCTCTTGACCACAGTGACTTTGCCTTCTGTGTGCTCCCAGTTCAACCCTCTGTCCCTGGAGGAACTTGGCTCTGACACAGGCATCCAGGTTTTCAATCAGATCATCAAATCACGACCTCATGACAACGTCGTTGTCTCCCCCCACGGAATTGCATCCATCCTGGGAATGCTGCAGCTGGGAGCAGATGGCAGAACAAAGAAGCAGCTCACGACAGCCATGAGATACAGCGTGAACGGTGTGTATGTTCCCAGCACCCACTGCTAGGGGGCGCCCTGAGCTGGAAGGGGCATTTCAATCTTGTCTTAAAGCTTCAGGAGGCAGAGCATCTAGGAGGGGCTATGCAGTGGGCCAGTCAGTCTGGACTGAACTCAGGGAACTAGACTCTGTCTGGTCTTAGTTCTTGGCTATTGGACTCCATGTCAGCCTTCAGTTCTCTCGTGCTGCTAATTTCTCCCCTCTAAAGAGAAAATACCCAGTCTCACCCACCTCCAGGGTGGACCTGGCAGAATTGCAATGTATTGGGCATGTCCTGGGATAACATGTCAGCAGGAAGTGTGGCCAGGAGCCCTGGGAGGGAGCTGTCCTGGGTGGCACTTGTGGCCGAGGTCACATGCAGCTACATGGGTGATAGATTTTCATAGATCTGCAAATGTGCCCACATGAACACCAGCAGGTATGAAAAATGAGGACTTGACCTGATGGCAATTTCCTGATACAGTGATTACCAGCTCTGGGAAGGGCACAGGGAACATTTCTTTTAACTTTTCTCTTATTGCTATTGTAAAGGGGATACAGTTACATAAATCAAGGAAAGAATGTATTACTCGTTGGACATTGTCACACCTTTCTGTCTGTTGCTTTGAAACCTCATATAAATCAAACACCAAAAGTTACAAACTGAGTTGCAGCTTCTGGGTGTAGTAGTGCACACCTGTAATCCCAACAGTCAGGAGGCTAAGAGAGAAAGATCACAAGTTTAAGGCGAGCCTGGGCTGCATAGCAAGTCCTTTTCTCAGTAAATAAAAAGATACGTTGGCCTCATGGTGTAATGGTTAGCACTCTGGACTTTGAGTCCAGTGGTCTGAGTTCAAATCTTGATGGGACATTTCAAGTTTGGGGAGAGATTTGAGAGAATGATGAAAGGGATGGCACTGATCAAGATGCATGGTCCTCAGAAATTGGCATGTTTCATTGAAATCCCTTTGTAAAACTAATTAAAGATAATAGTTGGAAGCAGCCCATATGTACCTCAATGGACAAATGGATTAAGAAAATGCAGTGTATATATACAATGGAATTTTACTCATCTGTTAGAAAGAATGGTAATATACCATTCATAAGAAAATGGAAAGACTTGGGAAGAACTGTTAAGTGAAGTAGGCCAGACCCAAGATAGAATGTGCCTATAAATCTACAAGTAAACACAATGGGTGGTAAGCAAGCAGTTCCAAGTGAATTAACTGAATAGATGCTTTGGAAAGCTTTAAGTAGTACAATTTTTTAGAAAGACTAAGTCAAAGCCCAACAAAATAAGCACCAAGAAATGGGTACTTACAAGAGGGGAGTGGGAACAAGGGGAAAGAGGTAAACAATGAATGGGGGAAGAGGGGCAAGAATGCAGTCCAGAATTTATTATAAGTACCACAGAATTGAGAAATGTAAGGGAAGGAGTGGGTTAAAGGGAGTTGACCATGTTGAAGGGGTAGCACGGAACAAGACGCATTGTGCTCATATACTGCTCTGTTGAATGACCCCTCCCTTGAACAACTACCGACGATAACAATTTAGACAATTTTTTTTAAATTAATGAAGGATAACAAAAGAACGTTAGTTTTATGAAAAGAAAAACCTGCTCATTATTCCCGATTCACTGTAAGTCCTGATGCCTCTCGGCATCATTTCCCTTGGCTGAGGCCATCCTACCAGTGTACATGTGGGTGGGAGGATTGCTTCTAAGACCTCTCCTTTGCACCAACATTCATGGTGACCTCCAAGAAACAAGATCCAGTTCATATTTCCAATGGGAAGTGATGAGGTAGTTGTCCTACCCTTGGTCTTCCAACGTTTCTAGGACTCTTGACTGCCCTGGCCCTGTCTCTGGAAGGCTAACACTGGAGAGGAAGGACATGACAGTAATTGGGGCCTCAGCCTCCCTCCCTTCATTGTCTTAGCTCAGCCTCCACATGCTTCAAGGCAGCATCTGCCAAGCTGCACCGTTGTGTGGACATAGCGGCACCCTTTGTATGAACATCAGCTTGTCCACCTGTTGGAAACAAGAAAGGCTTAAATTCCTGGAACATTCTCTTCCCCCCACTCCCAGCCCCCAGCACTTGGGAGAAGCTCTTCATGATTTAGAACTTCTCAGTGAAGTGCTACCAAAATGTGTGGTCTTTCCTGGGGCAGTCAGACCTGTCCGCCAGCTACCAGGCCAAAAGAGCAACGAGGGTCTTACTCTTGGTTTAGCCCTTTGTTTCTAGCCACCCTGGTTTTTCACGCATTAGTTCTGCAGTTCTGGGGATATTGTGTGGTTAGCCCACCAAACCTACCCCCACCCTTGTGTTTCTCCCTCAAGAATTTCTATCCATCATCTATAGGAGGGACTCATGTCAGCAGTGATTATCAGGGCTCAGCCTCTGAGTACCCGCAGTACTGATGCTCAGGAAGGAAGGAGAAAGGCCTGTTGGGGTGGTGGAGAAAGATCTCCCCTGTGCCCAGTGTCTGCAATTGGCCTTGGAAGTATCTTTCAGCCTCTGAAGGCTGCTGCTCCCTTACTTGTAAAATAGTTCTGCCCCACGGGACAGCCCAAGGGGGTGTGAGAGGTCTAAGAATTGCCCTTTCCTGCTGTGAAGCCCACCAGGCCCTGACCTTCCTTAAAGGATCTAGGGAAGACGCACAGCTATGTTTTCAGTGACAAGTCAGCTGCTCAGCACACCTCCAAGGTGACCTTGGAGGACGTTTCAGGACAGTGAAATTTAGCAAAGATCTCAAGTGATGAGAAAGGATGTGTAATTCAGTTCTCCATAGAAGCACATCTCATCCTTAGCACATATTTTTCTCTCTTTCCTGCTCCCAAATGAAATGGAGCATGTGTGAATGGCTCGTGTAGAATAAAGCCTATATTGCCATAAATTAATTTCTTTACTCTTGGAGCTCACTATCAAGTAAAAATCACACTGCTCTGCTTGGTGGCCCATGGCAATTTTTAATAGTCTTTCTAATGCTTATTTTATTCATTTCTTCTCCCCAAATAGAAAAAAAAAAGGAGAAATCATGTTGTTAAGTCATTGACAGGAAGGAAATAATGCTGAAGATCGTTAGGAGAATAAATGAGGAAGTTTGATTTATTTCCCCCACCCCCAATGGAGGAACATCCAGTATCCATAGTGACCCAAGGTCCAGATGGCTTCCAGGGTAAGGTCTACAACTGTGAAGGTGTTGGAAACAGCCTAACTAGGCCTGTTTTGATACAGAAGCACAAGTCATTGGGCAGGGGTGGGTTTGAACTCAAAGCCTTGTGCTTGCTAGGTATACACTCTACCACTTGAGCCACACACCTAGCCCTTTTTGCTTTTAGTGTATCTCACAGTGGCTTGAGACTGACATCCTCCTGCATCAATCTCCCTCATAGCTAAGCATAATGATGTGCACCACTAGCACAATTGGTTTTTAAGAGATTTCATTGTTTATTTTACTCCCACCTCTCCTTAAGAAAGCAGAAGATGCAGTTAGGCTCTTGGTACCCAGATTTACCCCACTTATGCTGCTCTTATTTTCTAGCAGAAAGGAGCTGGGGGAGGGTTGTTTGTTTTGCCCTGGTATTTGGGTTGTACTCAGTGCTGTCCCTTAGCTCTTTCCACTCAAGGCTAGCACTCTGGTTTGTTTGGTGGGTTTTTTTTTTTTTTTTTTTTGCTTATGTGGTGCTGGGGAACCGAACCCAGGGCCTCATGCATGCAAGGCAAGCGCTCTACCACTGAGCCACCTTCCCAGCCCCTGGTGGGTTTTTTTTAATGCACTTGCCAATTATATTAGACTTGAAAACATTGGGCAGATAATAAATTTACAGTTTCTATCTCTAATTACTACCATTAGTAAGTATAAATAGTCTAAATGTAACCAAACCATAGATATTTATTTCACAGCTTTCTACAACAAAGAATTCCTTCCAATTCTGATACAATTTCCTCCATTCACCTTAAAAATATTTATCTCATTTTAAAACATTAAGCTATTTAAATAACTAGCATATTGCTCATGTCTGCAGAAGAAAGAGATCAGTTCTTTCTGGTTCGACCCCTTGATAACACATCTGACTTCCTGTTCCATTCTCAATCTGTTGGTGGAGCGGGGTTGGGGTTGGTCGTTAATTGGGGAATAATTCCTTAATTGAGGTCTCACAGACCTTCCTGCGTGGGATTTGAATCATGATCCACCGATTTTGGCCTCCTGAATAGCTAGGATTATAGGCATGCACTGCTGGCGCATGCCTATTGGGTTTTTAAAACCCAATTTACTTTCATTCTTACATAAGTATTGCTATTTATTGGCTTCTCCATTAGGAGTAGGTAAAGTCTTAAAGAAAATCAACAAGGCCATCGTCTCCAAGAAGAATAAAGACATAGTGACTGTGGCCAACGCTGTGTTTGTCAAGAATGGCTTCAAAATGGAAGCACCATTTGTGACGAGGAACAAAGATGTGTTTCAGTGTGAAGTCCGGAATGTGAACTTTGGGGACCCAGTCTCCGCCTGTGACTCCATCAACCTGTGGGTTAAAAATGAAACCAGAGGTGAGTGGCCACAGTATCTTAGTTTGTGAAAGGAGGAATGAGGCTCCAAGATTCCCATGGGTGTGTTCAAGGCTAGTGGTCCCTCCACTGAGAATTACATGAGCCCAGGTGAACGCTGACCTTTCTGTCTTTCTCCACAGATTCCAAGATTCACTTCATCTGTCTTCCCTTTTCCTTCCTTCCTTCCTTCCTTCCTTCCTTCCATCTTTCCTACCTTCCTACCTTCCATCTTTCCTACCTTCCTACTTTCCATCTTTCCTTCCTTCCTTCCTTCCTCCCTCCCTCCAACTCTCCCTTCCTTTCTTCCATCCTTTCTTCCTCTTTCTCTCTTCCCCTTCTTCTTTCCCTTTTGTGTATGTGTGTGTGTGTGTGTGTGTGTGTGTGTGTGTGTGTGTGTGTGTTTGTGTTAGCTGGAAATGGGGCTTGAACTTAGGGCTTTGCTCTCACTTGATCTACAGCTCTACTTCTGGCTTTTTGCTGGTTAATTGGAGACAAGGGTCTCAGACTTTTGGCCCATGCTGGCTTCCAACAGAGATCTCAGCCTCCTAAGTAACTAGGCTTACAGGCATGAGCCACCAGAGCCCAGGTTGCCTTTCCTTTTCATGCTACTACTGCTCACAGAGCAGAATACAGCCTCTTCTCTGATCTTTTTTGCCTGCCCTATGTATTCACAGCCCTTCCTACAGGGTATTGTCTGAAAAGTTTTCTTGCTCATTTCTACCTTCATTTGCATCTTCTGCCCTCTTGGTCTGAAACACTGTGCTCACTCACCCTTGGCAGTGGTTTCTCTCTAGAGACACCTCCAGTCTCCTGCTGGTGAGGTTTGGCATGTGGTTACGCATCCATCCTAATACTTCCCACCTTGCATAATGACTGCTTGTTTCCAGGTCTTCTCTCTCCCAGCGGCAGAGTTTTAGGCTTGATGTTTTGTAAACTGGGGGTCTCTATGGGAGTGGTCAGGAGGAAACCTGGGTTTAGAAGACAGAGGAATGCCAAGGCTAGCCAGGCACTTGGGAGATCCTTCTCATAGGCGAATCTCTACAGGGAAAAGAAAGCAGAGAGAAGCCCAGCCTTGCAGGGCACATTTCTCATTATGTAATCCCTGATGCTCTTGTTCCAAGATTACCCAGGTGCATGTCCAAATTCTAAGGGAGGGGCTAGCAACTTCCTGTGGGTCTCTGCCACTCACCCCTACCATGAAGGTGGCCCTCTTGTGATGGCTCTGACCTGGAGCCTCTCTGCGGCTTCTGCCACATCTCCATGGACCCTGTGTGTGGCCACCGAGGCTCTTCTCAGTCACCTTGTCTCCTGGCACACATAGCCACCCATGCATCCAGCAGTCTGAGACATTCCCCTTCTGCTTCTCTGTGTGAGCACCTGCTTATGTCTGAACCATCATGTGAATGGCACAGGTCTCGGCTTGAAGCTTTGTTTTACCACTTCCTGATGTGTTGTGTCGCCCTAGTGAAGTTACTTGACCTCCTGTGCCTCACATAGCTCCTCACCTATCAAATGACAGCATAATAGTTATAATAACGTAGCAAGACTGGTTTGAGGATATGAATAGTACATATGAAACACTGAGCAGACAGAGAGAGAGAGAGAGAGCCTGGCACTTGAGAAAATGTTCACGAAATGAGTGATTTTTGTAGCTCTTAACTCACGTAGTGTTTCCTCAAGGACCCCATCCGTCCACCCCAGACCTCACCAAGCAGACTGGATCCCTCTTACGTTTACCCCATGGGCTTGAGTACTTTCACTTCAAAGTGTTTGCTAATTATAGCTATATATTTTGCCAAGTCATTTATGTCAGCCTCCACCTTTCTCTAATCCGTACTTATTAGAGGGTAGGGCTCATTGTTGTGTTTTTGCTGAAGAGTATATCTAGTGTATGGTAGGTTTGTAGGTATCCAAAGATGCATGGATAGGTGCATAGATTCATGCATGCATGCATGTACATACATAGGTTAGTGGGTAGATGGGTGGGGTAGATGAGTGGATGGATAGATGGATGGATGAGTGGGTAGATGGATGGATGAATGGGTGGAGAGATGGGTAGGTGGATAGGTAGATGGATGGATAGATGAGTGAATGGATAGTAAATACATATATATGGCAGTTAATGATGGTAAGTCCTCTACATGCCTCCTTACCTCTAAACTATGCATTTCTTGCCTTTTCCTTCTTTGCTTTTTCTTTCTTTTTTTCTTCCTGTCTACTTACTATATATTTCAGAAAAAGGATGATCATTTTTCTTGAAACTCATCTTGAGCAATGACTGCACGTTGGACACAATGCTAGGAGTGAGGAAAAATAAATGCTCAATTGCAGTTCACGGCTCAGTTGGGGAAGACAGACACATTAAAGTTGCCTAGAGTAAAGGTCTAAAGCGTCATGATGGTGCGAAGCCTTGAACTCCTAGGAGATCAGAAAGGGAGTTGGAGGAGGCATATAGGTAGAGGGAGGTGTAGGCTGTGTCCAAGGGATGTAGGAAGTGGACTGGCTAACAATCCCAACAAAGGCAGGAAACAGCAGTCACCATTGGGAAGCAGCTTCATACTGTTGGAGGAGCATGGTATGTAGACCAGGATGGGCTGCAGAGGCAACCTTGTACTGAGTTTAAGTATGGATGGATATGTATGGCTTACGTTTTTTTCCCAGGTCCTCACCTAGGTGGCACTTGTGCCCCCTTGTGGAAATAAAAAGCAGTAATGGTACTGTTCTCACAGGGTCAGGGAAACAGCAACTTCTAGTGTCATTCATTGTCATCTAAAGGGATTTAACATTCTCTCATTGCACACTTTGGCTTTTTCAGAAGCTATTAATAGTCCTCTGGACATTTAAAGTTTTATAATTCACATTTATGTTATACAGCTCTATACACACACATATACACATATAGCATGTACATACACAGTCAAATTTTATTCAAAGACAATGCAAAAGGGACCTAAATTAAAAAAAAAAAACCATAAACTTTAGCCACGGTTTACTCTTGAGAAGTATCTCAGGACATCCTGAAACAGGCAGTTGTATTTGTCCCTGATATAAATGAGTCAGGCCTTCCCCAACAGGCTGGGAAGGAAGCATTTTCCTCCAGAGTTCATTCTTCTAGGCTGACTGTATCTTCTTATCTCTGTAAGATTGGGAGCTCACTCAATGCCTGAGCCAGAAATGGAGATGCTAGTGTATATTTTCAGCTTGTCTTTTAAGTATTCATGAGGCTTGTGATAACCAGGGATTCTAAACTAATCACAACATTTCTGCCATTTGAGAAGAAATGAAGCACTTACCCTTCATAACATTGCTCATGCCATAGTGCTTATTTTTGACGGGGATTAACTCAACCTAGTGGTAAAACACAAAGCTAAGAAAATGTGCTTATCTTTTGGAGAAAGAACAAACCAACACTCACATCAGCAAAACCATGTAAAATAATTATTAATTAGGTATAGTTTATTTGGGCAAGTAAAAGTTTTCTAAGCCACAGGACTTTGTAGAACCAGTTATCATTTCTTTTGGGGGGGGAAGGGGGGCCTGATCGTGGGGCCTGAACTCTGGGCCTGGGCGCTGTCCCTCAGCAATTCAGCTCAAGGCTAGCGCTCTACCACTTGAGCCACAGCACCACTTCCAGCTTTTTTTTTCTGCTTATGTGGTGCTGAGGAACCAAACCCAGGGCCTCATGCATGCAAACCAAGTGCTCTACCATTGAGCCACCTTCCCAGCCCCCAAGTTGTCATTTCTTAACCTACGTTTGGGAACCCCTAACCAAGGGAGGGGATCTCTATAGTCTTTTCTAATTCTCTGATTTTAACCCAGTTTCAAGTAGACTTGAAAAATTGAAATGTGATTGAGAAATTAGAGTGCTTTAAAGGTGATCTTTCGTTTGTTTTGTATTGTTGTGCCAGCAGTGGGGTGTGAATTCAGGGCCTCGAGCTCTTGCTTTGCTTTCTTGCTCAAGGCTAATGCTCTACTACTTGAGTCATGCCTCCAGCTTTTCTTTTGCTGGTTAATTGAAGGTGAGAGTCTATCTGATTTGTCTGCTCAGGCTGGCTCTGAATCTCGATTTTTCCAATCTCAGCTTCTTGAGTACCTAGGACTACAGGTGTGACCCACACCAGCCTGAAAGGGTTTGTTTTTTGGCAAATCCTATAAAAATCCAGTGTTTTCTATTTTCTATTTTGCTTGATCACGGCAGCTGCCGTGTGCCCTCACTAGTGCCCACGGTCCTGAGGTAATGTCTTTGTGCTCTTGGGCTTCACAGGCATGATCGACAACCTGCTGTCCCCAGATCTTCTCGATGGCATGCTCACCAGACTGGTCCTTGTCAATGCTGTGTATTTTAAGGGTCTGTGGAAATCCAGGTTTCAACCTGAGAATACGAAGAAGCGGACGTTTGTGGCTGCTGATGGGAAGTCCTATCAAGTGCCGATGCTGGCCCAGCTCTCTGTGTTCCGGAGTGGTAAGTCCACGCTGAGGGTGGCTGGTTCTAGAATGTACTGATAGAAGAAGGCCTTGTGAGTACTTTGACTTAACTCAAGAGCACTGTTTCACCCAAATGTTGTGGCTCAAGGCTATAATCCCAGCTACTCAGGAGGCAGAGGTAGTAAGATCAGCCAGCCCTGCCAAACTTGTCTCAAAACAAGGAACTAGTGGCTCACACCTACTCAAGAAATTGAGGTCCAAAAATCAAGGTTCAAAGCCAGCCTGAGCAGACAAAGGCTGAGATCTAAGGGTTGTAATTTAAAGCCAGCCCAGACAGGAAAGTGCATGAGTCTCCTACCTCTAACTAACCATCATAAGGAGCCAAAGCGGTTCAAGTGGTAGAGTACTAGCCTTGAACAACAGCATCAACAACAGCAACAAAAAACACCCAGGGACAGTGCTCCAGCCCTGAGTTCAAGGCCCAGGACTGATGTAAAATGGTAGGGGGAGGGTGCCTGGCAAATTCAAAACCCTAGATTCAACCCCCAGTACAACAAAAAAAAGGAAGGAAGGAAATAGAGGGGGGAAAGAAAAAAAGAAAAGAGAAAGAGAGAGAGGAAGGGAGAGAAAGAAGGAAGGCACAAAGGAAGGAGAAAAAAAGGAAGGAAGAGAGGGCAGGAAGGACAAAGAAAGGAAAGAGAAAGGAAGGAAGGAAGGAAGGAAGGAAGGAAGGAAGGAAGGAAGGAAGGAAGGAAGGAAGGAAGGAAGAAAGGAAGGAAGGGAAGGAAAGAAGGAAGAAAGAAAGAAAGGAAGGAAGGAAGAAAAGAAAGAGAGAAAGAAGAGAGGGAGGGAGGGAAAGAAGGATGGCAGGAAGGAGGGAAGGAAGGAAACAGGAAAGAAAGAAGAGAAAGGGGAAGAGAGAGAAGGATAGGAGAGAAAAGCAAAACTTACAATGACTGATGAAAGCCGGCGGGGGCTTGGCGTGCGGGAGCCATGGCAGGTTGTGAGGAGACTTGACTGGAAGGACTTCCTCAATGTCTTGCCCCCCCAGTCCATTCCAGAGAATTTATTCTCTGAAGTGAATCATTCACTAGCAAATGAACAGACGCCAGGTGCAAGCATACAGGCAGCTCTCAGTTCCAGGGCTTCTGTGTTTTCAGGTTCAGCCATCCTCAGATGGAAAATACAAAAAAGAAATCTATACATATTTGATATATATAGATCTTTTTCTCTTGCCATTTTCCCTGCACAATGCAAGGTAGCAGTTATTTACATGGCATTTTTATTGTATGAGATATTAAAAATAACATTGTTTGAAATGTACAGGGAGTGTTCTACAGATTTACTTCCTTTAAGGACGTTGAAGATGAGGGTGAGCTGATTCTTTCTGCTCCCAGAACCAGACCCAGTAGATCCCAAGGGATGCAGATCAAGAATGGTAATCAAAAGTAGATTTACCTAGGTGCAAAGATGATACAGAGCACTATTGATATCAGAAATCAGCTTAATCAAACAGCAGATGCCAAGCAGTCTTGCGTGCATAAAATAATTTCTATTCATATATCCGTAGGGACGTATCTTACAGAACGTTCAATAAAACATCCGTAGTGGTAGGATTTCAAACACCAAATTGTTTTTCCTTATTTGGGATTGAAATTCTGGTTAATGAATATGCATCCGTTTTATAGTCAGGGGAGAATGTCACCAATCCCCGCCATCATTCCACAACCAAGACGAGTCTGGCGCTGGATGTTTAAATCTCATTTCACTGAAGCACTCGATCCACTTTAAATTAATTTCTTTGTTTCCTCTGTAACGTAGGCTTCATGTCTCCAGGCTATACCTGGATGCGTGGGCCCCACATCCTCAACACACTTCAGCTCCAAATAGCGGCCTGCCTGCTGAAATTAAGTCATTGCTCCAAAGGGAGCTAATCAAGTCACTTTGCGTAGCAATCAGCAGCTAGGCTTCTAGAGAAAAAAAAAAAATTGCCCAAATCGTCAGTTGATAAATGTTCCTTCAAAGATTATCTACACTTTGAAGCCCTGTGGAAAGTTTGGCCTGAGTAGCTGAGCATAGAAAGTGTCTCCTTCATTCTAGAAAGTCATTTCTACTTTCCAATCACCACCCTGCCTCTCACTCCAGCCTGTGCTGGTGTAGGGAGATCACAGGGTGCTGGCCCCGCCTCCCAGCGCTTATCTGAGCAGAATGGTTTTTATTTTAGGTCAATGTTTTGTATATAATCTCCACTCCATTAAATTTTTTTTAAGTGGAAGGACATTGTTGGTTGTGTGTTTCTCTCTACTGTTGAAAAACAATAACAAACCAGTAGTTGAGGATTTTTTTTAATGCAAGGATTCTTTAGACATTCCTATGGAAGATTCAAATGTTTGCTTTTATAGGAATATGACATGCTTTGCTTGAGTATGTAGGCTGTTCCCAGAGAGACGTACTCCAAGCGCATAGCTTTTCTATTCAGAAATAATTTGTCTAAGCACCTCTGTGTGTGTGTGTGTGTGTGTGTGTGTGTGTGTGTGTGTGTGCGTGTGTAAATGTGCTCTCGTAGCCAAAGAATAGACAGACTGGACAGAACCTGAGTGTGTACTGGATCCTGGCTCTGCCTCTGCCTTCCCTGATTCTTGCCTGACCATTGAAATGTAAACATGGCTCCTGAGAGATATAATAAAGTAAGTTTGCATCTCAGGCATCAGCCAAACTTGGGGGAGGAGGAGTCAAATTTTCAGCCCCTCCCACCCTGTCTGGATTTCCACTGCTGTCCTGCCTGAAGGCTGCCTCAGTGGCTCCATTGCCCACTGTCTTCCAGTGGAGTTGGCTACTGGGGAGCCAGCAGGTGATACAGGGTGAGAAGGAAGAGACCCCCCTCCCTCCACCAGGGAGCCATGGCCAGGAACTCTTTCCCCCTGGATCATCCCCTCAGGCACCTGCTGTTTGTGACCTGCCCCCCCCCACCCCCCACCTAACCATTTCTCTGGTGCTTCAGAACTTAATGCCTTTGATAAACTGCTCAGGGGTGTGATGGCGTGTCTGTTTCTTGGACCCCTTGACTGGTGTGTGTACTGGATTCAAAATACAATGTGGTGTGAGCATCTCTCCTTGCTCTGCTTAGAGTTCCTCATAAGAGAACCCAGACATCAGCTTGCTGCCATCCTTCCTGCCCTCCTTCCTGTGCCTGTCATCGGGTTTTTACGGAGTGCCACGGAACTGGAACCCAGCTGGGCCCTGTGGCAGAGTATGGTGGCATCCTGGTGGCAAAGTGATCTGCTGATAAAATGGCTTTGAGATCTGACTCAGGCTGGGGTCCTGTGCAGACCCCGCAGGCTGTGGTGGCCCTGGCAGACACCGATTTCCTAGCTGCAGACCACGCAGCCTGTCAGCCGTTTCTGTCCACCGCCTCTCACCCCACCCGCCTCACCAGGCAGGCCTCAGAGGAGCTGTGCCCAGACTCCCGCAGCCTGCAGTGCCGTGTATCCTGTCCTAGCCCTCAGCCAAGTCTCGCTTGTTCAGTTTGTCTCCTTTACTTTTCCCGAGATGTTATCACAGGGTGAAAAGATTCACGTGGTAGCGTCAAAGTGACAGGATGGAAAGGAAAAGGAAGGAGAAAACCCCTCTCCATTACACCCCATAAGTACCTCAAAGATAGAAATTTTTCTACTTAAAAAATAGCCAGGCACCAGTAGCACACGCCTGTAAATCCTAGCTACTCAGGAGGCTGAGATCTGAGGACCGTGGTTCAAAGCCAGTTTTAAATAGTTCCCCCCTTCCCCACTATGAGACTCCTATTTCCAATTAACTACTCAAAAAACAGAAGTGGTGCTGTGGCTCAAAGTGGTAGAGAGCTAGTCTTGAGCAAAAGAGCTCAGAGACAGTACCCAGGCCTTGAGTTCAAGCCCCACAACCGACAAAATATAAATAAATGAAGAAGAAGCTGGGCACTCATGCCACACACCTATAATACTAGATGCAATTTAAAGTCAGCCCTGTCAGACAAGTTTGTGAAACTCTTATCACCAATTAACCAACAAAAAACCAGAAGTGAATGGAGGTATGGCTCAAGTGGCAGAACATCAATCTTGAGTGACAAAGCCAAATGAAAATGTGAGATAGTGAGTTCAAGCTCCAGTACTGGCACCAAAAAACAAAAGAAAAGAAAAATAGAAAAATATGCTCACAGCAAAATAAAATACAATATTATACAAAACAGGAAAAAATAGTTCCTTTATAGTTGCACTGCCTAGGACAAAAACACCTATTAAAATTAAATCACCTTAGACCTAGCTATAGGTATACAAAATGTTTGGGGCTCTTGCATATATTAGATTACACTGTACTTTCTATTCCATAATTTTCTTTATTCATTAAATGCTATCATGGAAAACTTTTTCTGACTTCATTAGGATTTACTAGATCCTGTTTTCAGCTGTATGATATTCCATAGTGTACACTTCCCATACTATCCTATGAATGGCAGTAAGTATTCTTTTATTAGTCTTTTATTCTTTTAAAAACCTGTATTGGTATACTCCAAAAGGTAATTTTTTTGAATAGGAGTCAGAGTCATCACAACGTTTTGGTGTGCTTAAAAACACACCTAAAGGGTTATGAATTTAGATGTTGAGACTTTTTCCCCTTAAAGTAACTAAGTTTTCTTTCCAGTTTCCTTTCTCCTCTGACTTAGCAAATCATACTGGTATCTATTCGCATTACTTCTCTCCTTGCTTTTCTGCTAAGATCTGGTTCCCCAGACTAAACAGACTTCTTCTTCCTTACCTCTTTTCCTCCCCCTACCTCCATTTTGGCAAGTGAAGCCAGAGCCTCATTCTTCCTAGGGCCCGCCTCTCCCTCACCATCACTTAGCAGCCACTCGCTTCCTGTCCACTCTCCCCAAACTCTCTTTAGACCCGTCTGGAGAAAACCATCTTCAGAAACCTATATATTGTTTTATTTTCAAATACATATTTCAGTTTCTACTTGCAGAAAGATGATAACTTAGTGTATCAGCGAGTTTAAAAGGCTGGAGATGTAGCTCAGTGTTGGAGCACATGCCTGTCATCTGCAAGCCCCCAAAAAAGCATTTCAGCAAGTTTAATTACCTCCTCCCCTGTAGGAGCTTTGAAATAGGAATGATAGTCTTATAGAGGGCATTCCAGGAAAACTTGATCACCCTAAAAGTACCTCTTCCAGAAAGTTCTCACATCATCTCCACAGTTTTAGTCCTTGACTCTTTACCTACTCATTTTCTTTAACAGTTGGGTTGATCACCATTCATGTCAGAGACTTCTGTTTCTTTCCAGAGCAAATGAGCCTGCTTGTCAAATTTGTCCCCATGATAAAGCAGAGTCTACATCCCAGCCTAGGTCAGGGTACTTGAAAGGGAAGAACTCAAGGGCAACACAGGTGGGTCCTGTGCCCTGGCCCCGGCTACCAAATACCCTTTCCTTATCAGGAAGTGTTTAGCCCCAGGGCAGCAGAGGTGATTTCCTTTGGGGAGTTGATTCTATGGTTAGACTGTGGGAAATGACCTAACATTCGAGACACGAGGAAGCCAAGCATGGTGCGTACCTCTGAAATCCCAGTGCTCAGGAGGCTCCCGTTTGAGGTCAGCCTGAGCTACACAGTAAGACCCTGTCTCAAAAAGAATTGAGGGATTTCACAAAGCTCTGCTTACATCAGAAGATGTAAGATTTTTCTGAGTGTCTATGTTGATATTATCATTATCTCCTTGAATTTCCATGTAAAGTAAGTACTACTACCATAACACTTAAATACTAAAAGAAAGAAACAAAAAACAAAGCCAGGTGCTGGTGGCTCACACCTGTAATTCTAGCTACTCTGGAGGCTGAGATCTGAGGACTGTGGTTCAGAGCCAGCCCAGGCAGAAAATCAGTGAGATTCTTAACCTCCAGTTAACCACCAGAACACTGGAAGTGATACTGTGGCTCAAAGTGGTAGAGCACTAACTGTGAGCAGAAGAGCTCAGGGACAGTGCCCAGGCCCTGAGTTCAAGCCTCATGCTTGACAAAAAAAAAAAAAAAAAAGATTAAAAAATTTAAAAAAGAAGAATTAGAGCTAAGGACGGACATTGCCCAAGTCATTTAGTAAGTATGCTGTTGAAACAGGGTTTGAATCCAGTTCCTAGAACTTCAGAGCTGGTGTCCTTAACTTTCATCCTTGTCCTCCATGGAAGGATGCTGCAAGAGTTGTAGTGTGGTACTAGGGAGAAAGAGAGTTGTGGATTTATCTCCCAGCTCCTCAAGCCACCGGTCACAGCTAAGCATGGGTATGAGTGGATACAGCAGTGGTCATCAGTTGCTGGGGTCAGATGCTGACCCCGGATGCAGAACCAGGGATCCGTCACCATGAAGGTCTGAGTGATGAGTGTAGACTGGTTCATGGCTCTTGGTTTTACTGCTCACTAATGGCATCTCCACCCAGGAATGGGTTAACCAAGTGAAGAAGGTTTGTGTTATCTCCCCACCTCCAACAGATCCAGTGCATGCTCTGTTCTGTTCACAGCCTCAGTCTGCATTTACAGAGCTATGTACATTTCTGAGGCATTCCAGAGTGCCTCCAGGTCCTTATAGTATGCCCTAGAGTGATCATTTATTAACTACTTCCTAAATTTTGCAGTTTCTAAAAATTAGCTCTGCCAGAGTAGGGACCTAATGTTTTCTTCAAGGATTAAAGGGCTCATTTGGAAGGTTTTTTCCCCTCCTTTCTTTCTCATTGATTTTTCAGTTTCTACTGAGACTATTTTATTATGTAGGCTGAAAAAGTGAAGGTGAAGAATTCTAACTTCTGATTTCTTGAGTAGTCCCAGGATAGAAGCCAGGCTGGTGTGAGTTTACACACACACACACACACACACACACACACACACACACACTCTTCCCAAGCTGAGGTGGCTGCACTGGGTTCTTGAACTGCACTAGTGGCAGAGCAATGATCAATTGCCAACCCTCTTCTTGAGGAAAAAAAATTGATGTCATCCTGCAGTAGTAGATATTTTTCATAGAATTCAGCCTTGTACTTGCTAGGGAAGCACTCTACCACTTGAACTATCACCCCAGCCCTTTTGGCTTTGGCTTTTATTTCAGTTAGGGTCTCTTGCTTTTGCCCAGGCTGAGACAGTGAATCTCCTACCACAACTTTCCACATATCTAAGATTACAAGCGACCATACCTGGCCACTATCAGGTATTCTGAGAGCTTCACACCATATGGCATGGCTAAAAGTATTAATTCCTTAACAAAGCTTAATCTCTTGTGTGTTGTCCTCTCACTTCTTCTCTCCTTCTGTTCCTCCCTACTCTTCATACCTCAGCCTCCTGAATAGCTGTGATTACAGGTGTGAGCCACTGGTGACCAACCAATTTATTTCTAAAGAATAGTAATTGTTTTAAGTCTAAGGCACTGAAGTTCACTCTTTTACTTGTATAAAGGTCGACTTCTTGCATCACTGTACACTGAGTACCTAATGATCAGGTTAAATTATACTCAGTCACATTACAGTGAGTTTAATGCAGCCCAGAGGCATTCTGTCTTGATGAGAAAGAATTCTGCAACCAAGGGGGGAAGAGATCATTGTCTTTGTCTTTGTCCTCCTTAGAACTTGCTGTCTTCCCCCAAAGCTTTCCTGAGAATCATCAAGTGCTTGTGCCCCTTCTAGACCTCACCAAGCTTGCCTGAATGTGCCTCTGATTTCCCTAGGATCCACACGCACCCCCAATGACTTATGGTACACCTTCATTGAACTGCCCTACCACGGGGAGAGCATCAGCATGCTGATCGCGCTGCCCACCGACAGCTCCACCCCGCTGTCCGCCATCATCCCTCACATCAGCACCAAGACCATCGACAGCTGGATGAGCACCATGGTTCCCAAGAGGGTGCAGGTGATCCTGCCCAAGTAAGTGCCTCTTCTGTCAGATAAGACCATCAAGAGCTGGTGTGTTGGGTACCAGAAATGTGAGTGGAGAATATGGCACATCACGAGGCCTCTTGTATATTGTAGAAAGGGCATTGTGGGGATACCAGACTGTTTTCTGACAGCTTTCTCTCAATCCCTAGATTTCTGGAATGGTGGGTTAATGATAAAAAAAAAAAAAAAAAAACTTTGGTTCTTCATCACCTTGTGAAAACTCTGAACACACCTCGTTCTGCTCAAAAACACTGAAAAACATATGTGCTATCCTGTAGCATGGGCCAAAATACAACCAAGTTTTAAGAGAAATCTGTATGTTTTCATCAGGAGTTTCATTTGAGTTGTTTTAAGTTTCTGCTTTAAGTTGCTAAAGACCAAGGCCCAAAAGGTAGGAGGTACATAAATATTTTATAATATTCCACCGAGGTAGAATTCTCATTTTTTTTTGGCTAGTACCAAGATTCTCATTTATTTTTTGGCCAGTACCAGGGTCTCAGCTTTTCTGCTGGTGCTCTACCACTTAAGCCATACCTCCAGCCCTGTATCTTGCTGGGTATTTTGGAGAGATGGATGTTGCATGGACTTTTCTGCCCAAGCTGGCCTGGAGCCACAGCCCGCTAGCTCTCAGCCTCCCGAGTATCTGGGATTTTATGTTTGAGCCATCAGTTTTCAGCTCAAAGTTCTTACATTAGTATTTATGGCAGTTTTTCTGCTATAGTCTGAAAGTAAACTCTGGGTGGAATTTAAGCTGTTATGACTTGAGACCAAGGGAAAAGGAATCCCAAACTCTGTGTGAATCCTAATTTCCATGAAGTCCAAGAACACTTTGACCTGCCCCATGGAGGAGACAATGAATGTTGTTCACTGACTGTGAACTTGACCTTTCATCTATTGTCCAAAGCATTCCACTGTGCATGCTTAGATGGTAGTTGAGAATTCCAATAGCCTTTGATTATCTTCTCACTGAGTTAAGTAGTCAGAGGAATACATTTACAATAAGTATTATAACTTCAACCAAGCTCTCTCTTTTGGAAAATAAGCCTTCAAGTCAGCAGTGCTGCATCTAAATGAATCGGATGGTGACATCAGAGCTTGGTGGACAAAGAATGAGCAAATAACCATTTTAGGCCACCTGGGGTGAGAGTCTGCTTACCTTTCTTGCTGCTCTTCCATAGGGTCAGATAAAATGGATTGATGCATCTTTTCCTGTAGATTTAACAATTGACATGTACAGATGGATGGCTCCACGGGGAGGTTGACCACAAATAGTCAAGACACGTACCCATGTGTAATACTGTGTCACCTGTTTTAAGAGTGAAATACAATCAGAAACTAACATGAACTACTGGGAATGTATCTCCTCTCTTTTGACTAATATGATGACCATCTACATCAGCCAAGATGGTGGCTCTTTAGTTGGATATGGAAAATAGCTACCAATATTCTAGAACACCAGAAATTTGTTAACCCTGTGAACTTTCACATCACAGTAAGAGTCAGAGCTCATGTGGATCTCCAAAAGTGTTCACATAGGGAATCTCTTGCCAGTGAAGGCGAGAACACCATACTTATCATAAGTAAGTAGAGGAGCTGTTCTCTGCTTACCTGGTATTTAAATCTTAAGATTTCAAGTCAGGGCACAATTCAGATGGGTGTTCAGATCTTACTTTGAAAAGAACCTGTTTGAAAAGATGCCCTGATGATATCATTTTTGTCTCGTTGCTGGCTTGTGATGTTCCCCCCTCCGTTTTCTGCTTTCATGTAGGTTCACAGCTGAGGCACAAACAGATCTGAAGGAGCCACTGAGAGTTCTTGGCATTACTGAGATGTTTGAGTCATCAAAGGCAAATTTTTCAAAAATAACAAGTACGTCCAATTTAAAACTTACTCATCGACTTGAAGAAAATGTTCAAGTTTCTAATTTGTTCAAAGAGAAAAAAAGATCAGAATTAGCAGTGTGTTAACTCTAGAACTGTCCAAGTTTTAATTTAATGTATCACCAAATTATACTGTTGACCTTCTTCCTTAGATACCAGTTTCTCTTTCCATTGTAAGCTTTGATGTTGGGTTTGAAGAAAAGTCAAGTTTTGTTTTTGGGTTTTTTGTTTTGTTTTTTTTTTTTTGGTGCTAGTACTATAGCTTAAAATGAAGGTGTCATGCTCTTGCTTAGCTATTTGATCAAGGCTGGCACTCTGATATTTGGGCCACACCTACACTTCCAGCTTTTTGCTGGTTAATTGGAGATATGAGTCTCTTAAGTTTGTCTGCCCAGGCTGGCTTTGAACTGAGAGCCACAGGTCTCACCCACATTGGTGGCTAGGATCATAGCTGTGAGACACTTGTGCCTGGCTACGATTACTGAGCTGTCAGATACTTGTTTACTTCCATCAAGCACCTATAAGCAAGCATTGTATCCAAAATGTGTATTTTGATATTTTATACTAGTTCATCTGAAATAACATGAATTTGAGTGGGTCTGATCAGAACTTCCGTTTGCCAAAGCAACTGAGATATCTCTGAGGTCATGTCCCTTTATTGGTTAGCCTATGCTACTTTTGCTGGAGTTGTCTGAAGTTTGTTCTTTTCCTTTGAAATTTAGAACAGAGCAGTCTTCTTCCAAAGACAAGTGGTGGCTTGAGCATGATACATACCCCAGTTGGCATTGTGTTTCCTTCCTTGACTGGTAGGAAATTGGTTCATTAGCAACTCCCATGGCCCCTGAGAACCTCCTCAGAGACGAATCCAACCCTTCTGACGGAATCGCAGCTCTATTCTGATACCTGCTTGTCACTCACAGTCTGGTCCTCTGATAGCCCCAGCCCAGCAGGAATAGCCTCAAGCTGGAAGCTTGTTGGAAATGCACAACCTTGTGTCTACACAAGATTACTTCATTGTCACACAGTCCAGTCAGGTTTGAGAGACACTAATTTCACCTGCCCTTTCCCCTTCTGGCTCATCTAAGTAGGAAGTGTTCACAGGAAGGCTCCACATTCCCCCGAGCTGTTCTCTTTAACCTTCCAAGTGACTTAGGCCCAGGAGACATGCATCTCCGTCACAACTGGTCCTTGTCAAACCGAGCATTGGTGCAGACAGTTCACAATCAGATGACACAACACATGTTCCCCTCTGCTTCCTGACCTGTGTCTAATGCTGGCTGTCACCGGCATCCTCCTGGAATGTCCCCCCCATGGGCACCGCTGGCTGCTCGGGCGTGGAGGAGAAGGCAAGTGAGTCCTCTAGAAGGTTCCAAAGCGCAGCAGGTGTCTATATGCAGTCATGCCCAGATGTCTAACGCTCCTCACACTGAGTGCCTTTCTGTTGCTCACATGCCCAGGAGGTGGTGGGTGACTAGTGTTGAGAAAAGCCAGCACCTACTCTGCCGCTAGCTGTGTGGCTTGGGAGCAGATTCCTTAACACCTTGGCCTCTCTGGGTGCTGGTAGGCTCACGTCTATAATCCTAGCTACTCGGGAAGCTAAGTTATAAAGATCATGGTTCAAAGTCAGCCTCAGCAGGAGAGTCCATGAGATTCTTATCTCAAACTGATTACCAGAAGACCAGAAGTGGGGCTGTGGCTCAAAATGGTAGGGTGCCAGCCTTGAGCAAAAAAGCTCAGGGGCAGCTCGCAGGCCCTGAGTTGCCCTATGACCGGCAATAGTGGTGGTAGTAGTAGTAATAATAATAATAATATTTTGTCTTGCATCTTCTGGGAAGGTGGGCATACTTTTCAAAGCTCTGCTCTTTTCATTTCTAAAATAAAATTCATAGAGGTCAGAGTTGAATGGCTAAGAGGCACTACACACTGGAGGTTGGGACCTGTCTGAAGAAAATAAGCATTCCAGTTCACTTAGCAGAGATTGAAAATCACCACAAGTGACAGCCACCTACAGCTCTCAATCTGCAGGAGTGTCAGAGGTTACTTCTCTGACACTTTTGAAGAACTGGAATCTTCCATGACTTTGGGATTGCTTCCCCCACCCAATGGATGGTGTACATGAGAAACAAATGCTGGTTTGGTTTGATTTTTTTTTTTTTGTCATTTTTTCTGGGAACAGGGTCAGAAAACCTTCATGTTTCTCACATCTTACAAAAAGCAAAAATTGAAGTCAGTGAAGATGGGACAAAAGCTTCAGCAGCAACAAGTAAGTGCGGGGTCTCCTGGGGCCAGGTGCTTCTGGTCAGGAAGTGGACACATTCCAGTTCATGCTCCAGTTCATCTGTCAACTCCACAGACTTCTACCGAGCGCTGATTCCAGCTGGGGGCTGAGCGATCGGCCCTTGGGAGTCAGCAGTATGGACAGATCAAGTGTTTCACGGAAAAAAGTTCCTTCCTAGAAGAATTGCTGACAAGATACTGCAAAGCTTTGTAAAAAGCCAGAGAGGCCGCATTTCGGCTTTGAGAGCCATATTGTCTCTATCCCAAGTCTGCCGTTACGGCGTGAAGCCAGTCATAGGCGAGACAAGTGAATGGGTGCAGCTGTGTTTGCGTGAAACGTTATTTATAAAAACATGATTTGCCTTATAGACAAATGTCCCCCTCGCCGCGGGAAGATAATTCATCTTCCGGCTTCTTCTTGAAAAAAAAAAGACCCATCTTCAGGTCAAAAGTTAAAATAATAGCACATAGCATATGCTTACCAAAAAAAAGGGGGGGGGTGGTAAATAGCCACATAGGCCTCTCCTGGACCAAGTGAAGAATTAGCGAGCATCTGTTGAATTGCAGCAAGAATGCTGAGCAGCCTTCCTTGATAATTAGAACATCCACATCTGCTTTCTCCCCAGTGGCTTAAACAATGCATGAGAAAACAGAGTAACTCTAACTCATTCTCCCCTCAGCCATATGAGATGAGGCTAAAAATCTGTGAGCTCATAAAAAAGAATAATCTAGCTACATTTGCAGCTGGGTTGAATATGTCTGTTTATTAAAAGGTATCATTTAGACTCATAGTAAACACCTTCTTTCCTCTGGAGAACATACTAGGTTTTTTAAATTCCTTTCATGCAGCATTTAAGCTAGGAATAGTGGGGCACACCTGTAATCCCACTCAGGAGGCTGAAGCAGGAGAATCATTGCTCTGAGGCTAGCCTCGGCTATATAGGCCTGAGTCTAGGTCCTAGACTAACTTAAGATACAGAGTCAAACTGTCTCAAAGAAAACCAAGGATGAGCCAGGTGCTGGTGGCTCATGCCAGTAATCCTACGCAGGAGGCTGAGATCTGAGGGTCATGGTTCAAAGCCAGCCCAGCAGAAAAGTCCCTGTGAGATTCTTTGGGGGGGGTGGGGTCAGTCATGGGGCCTGAACTCTGGGCTTGGGCGCTGTCCCTCAGCTCTTCAGCTCAAGGCTAGCACTCTACCACTTGAGCCACAGCACCACTTCCATCTTTTTTCTTTTTGCTTATGTGGTGCTGAGGAATCGAACCCAGGGCCTCAGGCATGCAAGGCAATCGCTCTACCACTGAGCCACCTTCCCAGCCCCTCCCTGTGAGATTCTTATCTCCAATTAACAACTCAAAAACCAGAAGTGGTGCTGTGGCTCAAGGGTAGAGCACTAATCTTGAGCACAAAGATGGTCAGGGACAGCACCCAGTTCAAGTCCCACAAATGACAAAAAAAGAAAAAAGAAAAACCACAAAGGGGCTGGGAAGGTGGCTCAGTGGTAGAGCGCTTGCCTTGCATGCATGAGGCCCTGGGTTCGATTCCTCAGCACCACATAAGAAAAAAAAAGCCAGAAGTGGCGCTGTGGCTCAAGTGGTAGAGCGCTAGCCTTGAGCTGAAGAGCTGAGGGACAGTGCCCAGGCCCAGAGTTCAGGCCCCACGACTGGACCCAAAAAAAAAAAAACCACAAAAACAAAGACTAGGCCCAACACTAAGATGGATGGATCGATGGATGGATCGATGAATTGATCAATTGATCAATAGATTGGCAGATTGATGATGAGTCAGTGGATGGACAGATGGATATGATCGATGGATAGGAAACAAAGACCTAGAATAAAAAATTGGGGCCGGGTGCTGGAGGCTCATGCCTGTAATCCTAAGCTACTCTGGAGGCTGAGATCTGAGGATCGAGGTTCAAAGCCAGCCCAGGCAGGAAAGTCCATGACACTCTTATCTCCAATTAACCATCAGAAAACTGGAAGTAGCACTGTGGCTGAAGTGGTAGAACACTTGCCTTGGGCTGAAGAGCTCAGGGACAGAGCCCAGGCCCAGAGTTCAAGCCCCATGGCCAAAAAAAAAGAAGAAGAAGAAGAAATTGGGAGTTTAAAGGTGCTCTTCATCTCTTCTAGGTAACTATAGGTAACATCTTAAGTTTTGCCAAAATCATTAGCCAGTTTTTCCAGCTGATATAACTATCATGGTCAGCTATGCAATCTGTGCAGCCCTGTGCAACGTGAAAACATGGAACCTCTTGTTCAGAATGGATTGAGACTCTAAAGACCAGACTAGGGTACTAAGCCAACCACAGAGTCCTGTGTCACCACTCAGATCCTAGATTCCAGTTGCAGAGAGCTTCAGTGATATGCCAATGAAGAGGCGCAGATGGCAATTTTCAGCTGGGTTTTTAATAAGCAGAAAGTACTTGCATAGCTTCAAGAGAACCAGAAGACTTCATCAGCACAGAAGATGGTATGATTAGAATTGCTAATGAAGCCAGTGCCCATGGCTCACACCTGTAATCCTAGCTACTCAGGAAGGCTGAAATCTAAGGATCTCAGTTCAAAGCCATGAAACTCATCTCCAGTAAACCACCAGAAAAGAAAGGAGTAGAGCTGTGGCTCAAGTGGTAGAGTTAGCCCTTGAGCACAAAAGCTCAGGGACAGCACCCAGGCCCTGAATTTAAGTCCTAGGACCAGCACCAAAAAAAAAAAAATCTAGTGGTAACAGCTAATTTGCATCTTGTGTTCATTCAGTGCCAGTAAATGAACTGCAATATGTTTATACCAATTGATCTTTGGTTGTTTGTTGTTGTTGGTCATGGGGCTTAAACTCTGGGCCTGGGCGCTGTCCCTGAGCTATTTAGCTCAAACCAAGCATTCTACAACTTGAGCCACAGTGCCACTTCTAGTTTTCTGAGTGGATAATTGGAGATAAGAGTCTCCAATCTCCTGCCCCAACTGGCTTTGAACTGCGATCCTCAGATCTCAGCTTCCTGAGTAGCTCAGATTACAGGCGTGAGCCACCAGCTCCTGGCACACCAATTGGTCTTTGTAAAACATCTATATAAAGTATAATACATTTAGTAGAGAAGATTGTGCTTCTATAGAATAAATGAGATAGTAATTGAAGGGCTTGGCCCAGGGTAGATATTCAGTAAATGATGACCAGTGAGGCAATTGAACCCAGCCAGCTTATGGATCGGGGATTTGTCTTCAGAAACCAACCATGTGTCCATCAAGCTAACTCCCTTGCTGGCCTGGTGCTGGATGTGTAACCATTTCCTTTTTCTTCCCATAGCTGCCATTCTAATTGCAAGGTCTTCGCCTCCCTGGTTTATTGTAGACCGACCGTTTCTATTTTTCATCCGACATAATCCTACAGGTAAGTGGTTCTCTTCCATTGTCCACTCATTGTTAGAATTCAGAAAGGTTGATGCCATTCTTAGGTCTGGCCAGCAGAATTGCCCTCAACCTGACACCTGTCCCTTTACCCCGTCACCCCTGACCCAGTCAGCAATAGTACACACTTTGAATATGCCCTGAACAATGTTAATTTCAGAGATTGTAGCTCCATGAGTCTTGGATTCAAGACTAGGCTTTGACCTTGAGCTTATGCTGCTAAATAAAGATAGAAGTAGTTCCTACTTTTAAGCAGAGCACTGGTGGCTCACACCTATAATCCTAAACTTCTCAAGAGACTGAAATCTGATGATCACAATTCTAAGGCAGCTCTGGAAGAAAAGTCTGTGAAATTCTTATCTCCAATTAACCACCAAAAAACCAGCGTGGAGCTGTGACTCAAGTGGTAGGACACTATCCTTGAGCAAAAAAGCCAAATGAGAACATAGAGTCCTGAGTTCAAGCCCCAGTACTAGCAAAAGAAACCAAAAGAAAAAAGATTATCTTTGTGGCGAGGTTGACTTAATATACAGCTTTCCCTATTATTTTGAATAGAAGGCATTTCCTTTTCCCTGTATGTCATTACATTTTTGTGTCCTAACAAGTGTGCTGCAAAGCTGAACAGTCCAACCCTAGGCCTTCTATACATGTATGGCTCTGTGACCTTGGCTTGAAATTTCAAAGTCAAAGTGAGTCCATTTAAAATGTCAACTTCTTAAGCACTGGTGGCTCATGCCTATTATCCCAGCTACTCAGGAGGCAGAGATCTGAGGATTATGGTTTGAAGCCTGACCAGGCAGGAAGTCTATGAGACTCATCTCCAATAAACACCAAAAAGCAGGAAGTGAAGCTGTGGTTCAAGTGGTAGAGTACCAGCCTTGAATGAAAAAGCTCAACAACAGGCCTTGAGTTTAAACCCAAGTGTTGGCACACACAGACACATACACACACACACACACACACACACACACACACAAAGTTCAACTTTTCATCCCAATAGCCACGTGTCCAGCAACAGCTTGCTACGTGTGATATGTGGCCTCCATATTGGCCAGAGGGCATGTGGACCTTGCTGACCTTGCAGGAAGATCTGTTGAATAGCCTAAGTAAGCCATGGAGCAGCATGGTACCTTCCTTCCCCTACATGGAATGCTTTGCATCTTATTTAAAGGCTTGTGCATTTCCAGTCATGCGGTGTTTCTTTCCCTCCCACAGGTGCTATCTTATTCATGGGGCAGATAAACAAACCCTGAAGAACTATGAAGAAACCATGCAAAGCAGATTTTGCGATGAAGAAAAAGATTCCTCTTCCTACATCTTTCATAGTTTTGTTAAATATTTTTGTACATTGCTTTCTTTTTTTTTTTCTCCAAAACTAGTCCTTAGCAACAGACTGGATAATACAAGTATTTCTGTTCTAGAAGGTTCTGGAGAGAAGATAGGGCAGGATGCCTGGAACTCTGTACTGAAGAATGAATAGAAGGGCTTCAAAGATGTGTAAAAGAGTCTTTAAAACTACTGAACAGTCGCGTAGGTAAACAACCCTCGAGAATCTGCTGTCTGTCCAGTTCAAGACTTTCTGTTTTGTTTTGTTGTTTGTTTTATATGTGTGGCTTTTCAGGAGAAATTTAATCACTAGAACAAAAAGAAACCATTTTGATGGTGTTATTTTTTATGGTTTTATGGAACAAATATTTGCCTTTTTCATTCTTTCCCCCTCCCACCTCCATCCCAAGTCTTGATAGCAAGCATTAGGAATTTGAAGGTGGAAATAATAGCAAAACCTCTAGTCTCCGTGTGTTTTTGTTGTTGTAGTCGTTCTTGTTTTATCTAATGCATGTATTCACGCCAAGAAAAATCTGAAAACTAATGTCTTGCTAGACAAGGTTTGATCTTGTGCCGTGTGGCTGTCACAACTGGTCTGTACTCCTCGGATTGGCATTTTTGTATTTTGTACAAAGTAAAAATAAAGTGTTATAAGTAGCAAAATAAATAAAACTTCGAAAAAAAAAGCAAAATCTATTTCTATGCTATTTGAAAATACAACAAAAGTAGAAGTCTTTTACAAAGTACCCAGCCCCAAGCCTAGCGTTGGTGGCTCACCTCTGTCATCCTAGCTACTCAGGAGGCTGAGATCTAAGAATCATGGCTCAAATCCAGCCCATGAAAAAAAATCCATGAGAGTGTTACATATATTTACCTACCACAAAAAGCCAGAAATGGAGCTGTGTCTCTAATGGTAAAACACTAGTCTTGAGTGAAAAAGCCAAGTTAGAGTGAGCAGCTTAGAGTTCAAGCCCAGTACTGGTACCAAAAAATAAAAATAAACAGCTTCAAGCTGGGAAGGTGGCTTAGTGGTAGAGCGCCTGCCTAGTATGCATGAAGCCCTGGGTTCGATTCCTCAGTACCACATACACAGAAAAAAGCTGGAATTGGCACGGTGGCCCAAGTGGTAGAGTGCTATCCTTGAGCAAAAGAAGCTCAGGGACATTGCCCAGGCCCTGAGTTGAAGCCCCAGGACTGGCAAAAATAAATAAATAAATAAAAGCAGCCTCTTCGAGGAAGCCTTTTCATTGGGGCAAACAACAGGAAAGTTGAAGCTCCTGGATTTTTTTCTGTCTTTTCCTCCGAACCTGACAACCTAACACTATGCTTTGCTTCAACGCTTGTCAGTGTATAGATCTTTCCAGAAGGGCTCAGTCATCCCGGTGTAAACTGAGCTGCAGGCTTTCGGCAGTGGTTGAGTAGCCTCAGCAAAGACGGGAAGTTTGTAGGAGTGCAGGAAGAGCTTCCTGCGCATTCATGTGATCTGGACCTCTGAGGCGACAGTGCCTTCTTTTCTGCGACAAGCTGGCGTGTGTGAGTTTTAAAGTGACAACTGGTTTCATGCTGGGGCATGGGGATTATTCTCTAAGTTGAACCAAACATTACAAGTATTTTACTACTGTGTCTTGAATTCTGGGCCTCCAGATTTCTCTTTGGCTCATGGCTGGTGTTCTACTACTTGAGCCACATCTCTACTTCGGGCCTTTTGCTTGTTAATTGGAGATAAGTGTCTCTCAGATTTGTCCTCCTGGGATGAATTTGAAGCATGGCTCTCAGAGCTCAGCTTCCTGAAAAGCTAGGATGACAGGAGTGAGCCACCAGTGCCCATCAATTTTTTTAAAGAAATTATTAGCATAACTAATTGCACAGGAGCTCATGATGATAGCTACAGCATGCATGGTTGCATGTTGATCAGATTCACCCCATCTATATTACTCCTCTGTCCTCAAACATCATATTCATGCTGCCATTTGCCTGGGGTTTTGGAGGACTCCTTTTTGGCAGAACTAGGGTTTGAATGCAAGGCCTCACAATTGCTATGTAAGCACGCTACTATATGTGCCACTTTGCTGGCCTTTTATGTGTTGCTTATTTTTGTGATAGGGTCTCACCGTATGCCAGAGCTAGCCTGCACTGCAGTGCTCCTATTTTTTCTTCCCTTTTTTCACTGGGATGATAGGCATGCACTACCATGCCCAGCTATTGTGCTGAGATGACAGGTGTGCCACTCTGCATCCATGCATTGATTGAGGTGGAGCCTGGAAGACTTTCTGGCCTCTCGTCATAATCCCCTGATCTCTGCCTCCTGAGTAGGTAAGACTACAAGCTTGAGCTGCCCCACCTGACTACCTGGATTTTGACATTTAATAAAGACCTGTATTGGGTTTTCTTTGTGCATGAGGTCTACTTGTCACTCTTTAACTATACATGACAAAAATCATATCCTACACTCCCATCAGTTTGCCATTGTCACCGTAATTCTTATGTGTAAAGTGGGCTCCGCTTTACTGCATGCATACTTCAGCAAGGCTGAGAGAAGGGAGAAAGGGAAGAACCGATTTTTCTTATTTAGGAATAACACCAAAAAAAATCAACTGCTTTCTTGCAGTCGTCACATATATTCTAGCAAACATGTGCATCAGTATTCATGCTTCCTTGTCCAGTCTTCCCTCTTTTAATAAGACGGTTTTGTATTGCCCAAATCATACTCATGTGGGCAGTCCGTTAATTTATTGTTTAAGTATCATATTGTTCAAGGTTCTTCAAAGAAACATAAGCAATTGCCCAGGTATAGAAGGGACCCGCCTCAGGATTCTGATGGTGGAGGGGTCCTTCACTACACCGTTGACGTAACTGATGGCCCAGCCCACGCCCCATCCTCAGGTCTAAGAACCCCAGGCACCGTGTGACTCCCAGTCAGACGCTGGAGGCCCAAGAACCTGGACAGATGATGGCCTGTGTCGGAACACAGGTGTCCAAACTCCAGAAGGGAGAAGGAACTTGACTTCCCTCCTTTTGTGTCTTCTTCATACCCTGCACTGATTGGTTGGTGTCCACCCACACTTGAGTAAAGGCGGGTCATCCTCAGCCCATTGACTCAAACACTAATATGTTCTGAGAACACGCTCACAAGCCTACCCCCAAATCAGGCTTGACCAGCCAACGGGCCAGCCATCCCTATTCCTCCCAGGATGACAACTAAAACTAATCATCATAGGTAAAGACCAGCTAGTAAGTTAGAGGGGGCATATACGTTCCATAAATAATGCAGTCTCGGGGGGGGGGGGGGGGGATCAGTCAGCACAAAGTATTTCACTGTTGCAGAGTAGATGTGAAGCTAAGAAGGTGTGAAAGTGCAGGTGAGTGGAGAGAAAATGTTCACCATTCCATTGTTTATATACAATGGAATTTCACTCATCCATCAGGAAGAATGTTTTGTGTATAGAAATGGATGGGCCTGGAAAACAATCACGTGATGTAATTCAGGCTCAGAAAGACAAAAAGGTGCGTGTTTTCTCTCATGGAGAAGTTAGATCTAGGGGGTAAGAAGTTTGACAAGAAATGTAATCACTACCTTACTTACATAACCCTCCTCCCCTGTACATTACCTTGATGATAAAATTAAAGATATAGATGAGAAACAAAAAAAGGTTAGATCTAAATCATAAACCTATGTGAAAACATACACAGGGTCGTTTGCATATATACACAAACATATTAACTCAAGTATGTATATGTAGGGGAGGATTCTAAGGCTGTAACACCTTTGAACAACCAATTTATAACCTAACAAAATGAATACCAGGAAGCTGGAACGTGGGCTAGTTGGCGGGATGAGGTCAAGGGGAGGAAGGGCAGATGAATGGAGAGAAGACAGGTGGGAAAATGCCATCATAATATTTAATGTACATAGGTGAAAATGGAACCCATCAATTTGAGGACATGGGTGATGTTGAAGAGATGGAGAAGAATGATGAAAGGGGCAATGATCAAGATGCATTGTACTCACAACCTGACACGTAGAATTGAAACTCCTTTGTACAACGACTTAAAGATTTTTTTTTAAATGACAGACACTGGTGGCTTATGTTTGTAATTCTAGCTATTCAGGGGGCTGGGATCAGAGAACCACAGTTTGAAGCCAGCTCAGACAGGAAGTCTGTGAGCCCCAGTACCAGCACACACACACAAAAAAAATCGGTTTATCATACCAAGTTCACAACTGCTTGCTGTCTGAAATGATCTTTCCTAAGTCTCTTAGTTTTCTAAGGCCCTATCTGAGGTTTATAATCCATGTAAACTAAGGTAAAAGAAGTATAGCCAGGTTTTGTGCTGTCCTTCCTAGATAGGAAACTTTCAGGGTCAGGAACTGAGGCCTAGGGACAGACTGCCGGGGCCTCCATGAACATTATTATCAAGGATGCTGAATCTGATCGTGGACATCTGGCTTTATACTTTTTCATTTTTCACAGTTCTAGGTTTAATCCCAGAGCCTTGTGTTTCTAGGCTTCCTTGCCAAGCTAGTCCTCTACCACTTGAGCCATGCTTCCAGCCCAGCTTTTTCCTGGTTCATTGGAGATGGAATCTGATGCACTTTTCTGCCTAGGCTGGCTTCAATCCTACAGATCTCAGCCTCCTCAGCAGCTAGAACTTCAGATATGAGACACAGGGATCCAGCCCTCTTTCTTTCACTATTTTTGTCTCATTAACTTATTCTTAGATGCTTTCTGGCCCTTACTGACCCACTATTGGTGTGAAGATGCTAATGTCAGCTTACGTAGAAGGAACATCAGCAAAGACTGGCAGACTTCTCTGACTTCGAAATATCCTTCTCTGGCTCTCAATTGTCTCATGACTCATCTCTTCCTCAGGAGGACCAGGATAGGATAATCTCATTGGTTCATCTGCAATTTGAATGTACAACAGATCTAAAAAAAGATGTCTTGTAAAGGAATAATCAAGTAATACAATTCCTCTTCAATGCAAGAGAGACTAAGATTGTATCTAATTCGCTAATTTTCCCAGAAAAAAGTTTAACCCATTAGTGTTATAATGTTAGCAAATACTATCAGGTAAATAACAAGTGACCATAGGCAGGTAGCACAGAAAGTGCTAATATATTTCTTTTTAGGAGTGTGATTGTGGGTTTTTTGTTGTTATTTCTTGGGTTTTTTGGTCGTGGGACTTGAACTTTGGGCCTGGGCGCTGTCCCTCAGCTCTTCAGCTCAAGGTTAGCACCCTACCACTTGAGCCACAGTACCACTTCTGGCCTTTCCTACTTATGTGGTGCTGAGGAATTGAACCCAGGACCTCATGCATGCAAGGCAAGCCCTCTACCACCTTCCTAGCCCTGATTGTGGATTTTGATTGCATGATCTCTTGGAAGAATACCATCGCTGCTTTGCAAGATTGGATTAAATCAAGCAGTTGCTCTTTGGTAGTCCATGGAGCATAGCTTGGATTTCAAGTGTTCTGATACCTAAAGTCAAGAGATACATACAGTTCTGACTCCTAGAGGACAGCAGTTGAGAGATCTAGAGAGGTCATATGGACCAGCCGAAGGGAAGAAAGACAAAACGAGCATGAGGAGGCAGGTCTCAGGCAGTGGGCTGCTGCAGGAAGGGTGTGAGGGCCTTCCAGTGGAAGACTATCTGTACACATCTGGTTTTATTAAAGGTTTTATCTTTGGCATCCCTGCAGTTTTTCTTCCTCCCTGTGAATATCTTGGCATTAGAAATGAATGCTCCATATATCAAAATCTTAGGGCTCTTCAAAGGAGTGAGGGAAGGTGGATGTCTTCATGTGCACTTACAAAATAGCAGCACTGCACAAGGCCTGGACGTGTCCTGATTTGTTGTAATCCTGTGCCACACACTCTTGTCTGTGTTCTCCCACCAAGGTGTGGCACGCCCCAAATTGTGTCATGGGATTATGGCACCATCTTGTGGTCAAAATCAGTGCTGCACTGAAAACAAAAAAGTAATTTGTTCCATTCTTATTCAGAATTATGTCTAGTCCACTCTCTTCTAGCCATATAAGACACTAATAATATTCTCCATTTCATCTATCCATATACTAAAATACAGTGTGAATACAAAAGAACATAGCTTATGTGACTGAGTCTGTAGATGTTCAGTATTCTGATTTTCCCCCCAAGGGATCTTTTTGAGATGAGTATTCTGATTTTCCCCCCAAGGGACCTTTTTGCGATGTTTAGTTTTAGGGTTTAGGAAGGAGGGCCTAAAGTAGGAAGAAAGGGGTTCAGAACTGCAGATCAGGCAATTAATTACTGTTCTTTTCTGGTGCCTAGCCAAATTTAAGTACCAGTGCTTTTGTATGTTAACAAGTTCCTGTGGTTTTGGGACAGTCCTCACAACATGAAATAGCCATCAGTTAAAAAGACACAACCCCAAATGGTCACCTAGCCCTCTTAGCAACACCTCTGTCCCTCACATATTCTTTCACCCATATACCAAATTTAAGTAGTTTATTCTCATAGGAGACATTAAAGTCATGGGCATTGTTCCATGTTTCCAACTGCTTCAGAGGGAATTGTAAAAAGTATGTTAATTTTCCTACATTCCTGCCATCCCGTTTTAGTGAGTGCTCTAAAATACACAACCCAAGATGGAAATGTGGAGAAATCATATTCTTTCTTAAGGGATATGGATCTCTTTACCTGCAATGTAGCTTTTCACACTAAATGTCTTTGTCAGCCTAGAAGCATTCAGGATTTAGAAGCTTTAAAACTTAAAGTGCTAGCAGTTTTTTCCTACAAACTAAATCAGCTTGGAGAGACTGATCATCAATTGAACAGTGAAGGAGAACTTCCTTCTTAAATAGAAGTGGAAGACCAACTCACAAACAGGTTGGTTAGTTGCTTGCTTGCTTTGGGGCACTACTAGGGTTTGAACTTGTCTTGAAGCTTGTTTGGCAGGTGCTCTTCGATTGGGCTACAACTCTTGCTTTGGTTATTTTTTTGTCCAACCTTTACTTGGACTGCGATCTTCCCATCTACAGCCTCCCACACAAGCTGAGATGACCACATCCAGTGCAAATCAACATCCTAAATCCTGGAACTTGATTGGTTAAAGAAATGTATAAATGAAATGAAGGGGGGGGTGCTGGGAATGTGGCTTAGTGGTAGAGTGCTTGCCTAGCATGCATGAAGCCCTGGGTTCAATTCTTTAGTGCCAAGTAAACAGAAAAAGACTGGAAGTGGTGCTGTGGCTTAAGTGGTAGAGCACTACTAGCCTTGAGCAAAAGAAGCTCAGGAACAGCACTCAGGCCCTGAGTTCAAGGCCCAGGACCAACAAACAACTATGAGGGGAGGGATATAGAAAAGGGGAGAGATATCCATGTCTTGCTTCGAAATGGGCAGATAGCCCAGAGGTTCAAGGACCACTCCTGTCCCTTCCTTTCATGGTTCTTTCTACTTGTCACTATGGCCGTTGCCTACTGTCATTTCACATGCAGATGAGATTATAATGAAGTTATGGGGCCATTTGCTCTGAAAGCCATTCTGGGTAGAAACACTTTGGGCCAGCCTATCTGCATGATGACTTCTGGCTGCCCAACGACACCCCTGATTGGATGCGTGCATAAGAAACTCAGCCAGGCCACCTGGAGGGTACACCCAGAGCTCTTGGAAATAAGTCAGGCCCCCTCCCACCTTGTAGGCTAGTCATGCAAACTGCTCTAGGCATGAGAAATGTGGGGGGTATATTTTCTGCAGTACTTGTGGGGGAAAGAGGGATTATTAAATTTGCAACTGAATTCTCTGAAGACTTTTTTTTTAAGTCCACTTATATGAAAACTAGCATAGTATTCTAGATAGAGCTGACATTTTGAATATGCTAGGTGGTTGTGGCAGTTAGAAGGCCGTCTTGTGCTTTTCATTGCAGACTCTTCCTACTATGTCAATGAGGTACTTATCAGATTACACTTACTGTGGCTGACAAATGGCAAGTTGTGCTTTGACTACTGAGTGTTATCCTCCACCCTTGTGTTCAGTTATTGAAGGAGTTTTAACACACACAGGCTGGTGGTGGTTCATACCTGTAATCCTAGCTACTCAGGAGGCTGAGATCTCAGGATCATGGTTTTGTTCAAAGACAGCCCAGGCAGAAAACGTCTATGAGATTCTTATCTCCAATTTACCACCAAAAAGCCAGAAGTGGAACTGTGGCTCAAGTGGTAAAGCACTAGCATTGAGTAAAAAAGCTCAGGGACAATGCCCAGGCCTTGCGTTCAAGCCCCAGGACTGGCACCAAAATACACCACACACACACAAATGGTAATTAAGTTTTATTAAACCTAATTCAACCAACTATACTTCTCAAATTTTCCCCATCCAAAAGCAGCCCCATCTTTTCCAGTGACAGCTATACATCCTGTCACACAGGTCTCAAGTCCCAATCTAGCAGGTCTCAAGTGTAGCTCTGGTTTGCCAGCAGGTTGGGCTATGTCTGGACGATGGGCAGGATCACTGAACTCGCTAAACCCAACTGTCTGGAAGTTCCTTACACTAGCATAAATCTATAAAGTACATTATTCCCCTATCTTAGCTTGCATATGATGTGTTCTTTATAGTCCCCAAAATAAACTATTTTGTCCCAGGCAGGCAGGCAGGCTCTTGCTTATCTTCAAGAAGCCAGAGCTGTGGAGACTTGAGGTGAACATAAGCCATTAATCAGGGGTAGGAATCAGCTTTCCCCACATCTTGTGTGGAAGTTGTGTGGTCAATAAGCTCCTTGGTTTTTGTAATCACTTGTTGCTTCAGGCCCACTTCCTGCTGCTTCCATTAGGCTTTCCCAGCTGGAAATGTTCATGGATGGCCTTACATCTCCACTCTTGAATTTAATAGTGATTTTTGGCTGGGTGAGCAACTGAATGAGATCAAGGCTTTGTCCCCCAGCTTGGTCCTTGCTCAGTCACTGTGGGGGTGCCTGGCCCACCCCAAAGCAGTGAACTCTGCTAGGTGGCCTCTGCCTTGCTTTTCAGGCCAAAGACACAAATGTGCTATTTCTAGAGCATGAGACTGTGCACCTCTGGGTTCTGAAAGTCCTATGTAAAAGCTCATCCAATGTGAGCCTTCTCTTCTTCCCTCCCAGTGCGTGGCCTCAGCGGAGGAAAAGTCCTAACCTTCTCCCAGAAGTTCTTCTTCCTGGATCTCCAAGCTGTTTCATGTTTAGAAAGAAAAAGGAAGGATCAACCAGTGTGGCAGGAAAGGGTTTTTACAGGTCCTTCATCTTCCTGTGTAAAAAGATTTCATAGCAAAAGTGCATTAAGTTTTAACATTTTTCCCCACTCTCTTCCACTCCCAACCCCAACAGGTATGAATACAGGCAGCCTGAACTTTTAAAACTTCTTTGTTGAAATAGCAACCCTTCTGTACATTATCCTTATAGCAATATCTGGTTATATAACTGCAAATACTGGGCTGGGAAGGTGGCTCAGTGGTAGAGCGCTTGCCTTGCATGCACGAGGCCCTGGGTTCGATTCCTCAGCACTACATAAGCAAAAAGAAAAAAGCCAGAAGTGGTGCCGTGGCTCAAGTGGTAGAGCGCTAGCCTTGAGCTGAAGAGCTGAGGGACAGTGCCCAGGCCAGAGTTCAGGCCCCACGACCGGACCCCAAATAAAAAAAAAGTAACTGCAAATAGTTCTTAGTTGCCAAAAAGGTAAAAATAAGTAAATCAAAGTAAATTTGCAGTTGTTTAAAAGATTAGCAAACACAAAATACTAAAAGAACCAAAAGACTGGGGCTGGGAAGGTGGCTCAGTGGTAGAGCGCTTGCCTTGCATGCCTGAGGCCCTGGGTTCGATTCCTCAGAACCACATAAGCAAAAAGAAAAAAGCCGGAAGTGGTGCTGTGGCTCAAGTGGTAGAACGCTAGCCTTGAGCTGAAGAGCTGAGGGACAGCGCTCAGGCCCAGAGTTCAGGCCCCACAACCAGACCCCCCCCCCAAAAAAAAAAGAACCAAAAGACTCTAAAAATCTGCCCTCTACCAGAATCACTTAGAATAGTACTTGATAGATAGCAGCTATTATTGTAATTAGATTATTTAAATACTCATTTTCCCATTCGCAAAAACATTTTAAACTACTACTAAGTTTCATTTTCTTAGAATTTTTTAATTTTTTGCAGCATAAAACTTATTTACTATTTGTTACAGAAATACATTAGAGCTAGGTGTAATAGCGCAAGCATGTAGCCTCAGCTACACAGAAGGATCTGTGGTCTGAGACTGGCCTGGGACAAAAGCAAGACTCGGTCTGAAAAATAATGAAAGCTAAAAAAGGGAAGGAGAGCTGAAGTGTGGCTTAAGTGGTAGGGTATCTGCCTAACAAATGTAAGCCCTTGAACTCAAACCCCTGAACTATGCCTTCTCCTGTTCTTCCCCCAAAAAAGAAGAAATGTATTCAAAGTACACACACACAAAAAATTAAACCCAGACTAGAGAAATCACATAAAAATAGTTATCTGTATCTTGCATTTCTAGAAATATTACTATCATTACTATCTCAGTTAAAAGTTCTACTAAAGAAGCAAAAGTTCACTGGGCGCCGGTGGCTCAGCCCTGTAATCCTAGCTACTCAGGAGGCTGCGTTCTGAGGATCACGGTTCAAAGCCAGCCTGGGCAAGAAAGTCCACGAGACTCCTATCTCCGATAAACCACCAGAAAACTGGAAGTGGTGCTGTGGCTCAAGCGGTAGAGCACTCACCTTGAGCCAAAGAGTGCAGAGACAGTGCCCAGGCCCAGAGTTCAAGCCCCACGACTGACCAAAAAAAAAAAAAAAAAAAAGCAGCAAAAGTCTACCACTCTCCTACCACATGAACATAAACTGCAATGTAACATGAAGAGAAAGAATAACTTTTTTATTGGTACTACAGCAAATTTCACATGTGATATATATTTATAACTGAAAACACCCCTAACTGTACAAATCATGTATAATTGCATAATGTTAAACTGAGGATTAGAAGGAAACTTCTTGGGAGAACTGCAAAAAAAACAAAAACAGTATCAACTTGGGGAAAAAAGAATTAAAAACAAAACACAGCACACTCCCGTGACCATATGGACACAGACTTAACATTAAGAACGCGGTGAAGAGCTGCAGTTTGACCAGAGCCCGCTGACATGTTGTCTACTCACATAGTGGCCCAGGGCGCCACACCCAGCTGCCTGGCTGGCTGTGGCTCCGCTCTGCTCTCCAGTTCTCTTTGGGCATGGAGTAGTCCCAGGGCGCCACACCCAGCTGCCCGGCTGGCTGTGGCTCTGCCCTGCTCTCCAGTTCTCTTTGGGCATGGAGTAGTCCCAGGGCCTTCTATTCTCCGTGAACCCATAGAGTTTTCTAAGTGCCACACGAGCAGCTTCTTCTTCTGCAATCAGCACTGTCTCCCCAGGCCCTTCTGCAAGCAACTTCTTGTCACTAGAAAGACAGCAATCAGATCTTAAGTGGCACAGCATCTTACGAGACAGCACACAGGGAATACAGAAAGCATCTGCCCTAACCTGACCTCCATGACAAACCATCAGAAGAACAATGTACCAGAGAGATCTTTGGAAGTTAATTTTGTTACCAGTTCTTATACAGAAGTTGACAAACATTCACATTTCTACAGAAATGTAAATAACTTATTGGGCCAGTATTTTTAAGTAAAAATCAAAGACACATAAGTATTAGTGCTTGCTTTTGTTAACTGCTGATGCAGAAGTGGAATGTATAGCTTCTTTGAAAAACTAAAACTGTCAACAATATTCTTGGAATATTAAGTGGATTATTTTTTTTCAGTTTGAGTGTGCAGTAGAAAGATTTTACTGAAAAAAAAAGGTGCCTCTGGAGTCTGCCGCCAACCTTTGCTATAAAGGAGAAAGCAGTTTTGTGTTTTAAATTAAGAACTTTGTATCTTCAAAACTGATTCATGAAATATTCTAGACTTATATGGCATCCTAATTTATTCTCAAAAAGCAGTGAGAAACAGTGAGCCAGCACTCATACTGGCTCTGAGTGTCACAATAAAAACAGATAAAAATAAAACTAATTTCTCTATTGTGTTGATATTTTATTATTATTTTTATGAGCTATCTTAAAAATGCAAACATGGCCCTCCAAGGAAGCAAATGTGCACATTAAGTAGCTATAATCCTGTTTTGCTACTTCTTCATTACATTTAACTAGTTTTGGAAACTTCCTGACTGAAAATTTCCCACATGCAACTCAAAGAAGCATCTCTCTAGAGCATTCATGCACAGCAGCTCCATCTGTCACACGGATTTAATATAAGGTTTCCTGAAAACTAAAAGGATCAGCACCACTAACGAAAAGAAGGGAAGGGGAAACAAAGGAGGAGGCTACAATGCTTGATAAGAAATGTACTCATTATCTTGCCCATTTAATTGTAACCCCTCTGTACAGTGTTTTCACAATTAAAAAAAAAAAAAATCTCAAAAAAAAAAAAAAAGTGAAGCCAAATGGGTAAAAGAACTCCACACGCAAGGAATTTCCTCAGTGACGAATGCTGTGACGTTAAGTATGTTCATTTGGGCATATTTTGCCAGAACTGGGATTTCAACTCAGATCCTTGAAGTCACTCAGCTTGGTTGGTTAGGCTGGTGTTCCACCACTAAAGCCACACCTCCAGCCCAGCCTTTTGATAGTTAACTAGATATGGACTTTTCTGCCCAGACTGGATAAACCATGACCCTTTTAATCTTAGCCTCCTGAGTAGCTAGGACTTCAGGCAAGAGCCACCAGCATCCAACTAACGATTATATTCAATGAAACAAATCTGGTTCCCCAAATGTTAAATTTTACAAAAATTATACACATACAAGAATGGAGGCAATCACCTACAAGTGAATCTCAAGTCCAGAAGACTTAGCAACTTTAGTCCAATGTTGCTGATATTGTATCAGATCATTTTTCAATCATTATGTAAAAATCTAGGGAAAAAAGCTATTAAATGGCCATCAGTATTAACAATATGGCATACGGAGAATTGCTGTTGTTGCTGGATTTCTAATTAAAACAGGGAATGGACTTCTGTACTTGCCACGCAGGGGCCCTATCACTGGACTCATGTCCTCAGGAAGTGGAACTCTGCACTTGCCAAGCAGGGGCTCTATCACTGGAGTCATGTCCTCAGCCCAAAATACTTCATTCTTTTTTTTTGTTGATGGTTCTGGGATTTGAACTTGGGGCCTCACACTTGCTAAGCAGTCACACTACTATTCAAACCTCACCACCAGCCCATTTTGCTTCCCTTATTTTCAAAGAAGGTCTCATATTTCTGCTAATACTGGACTCGACTATGATTCTCCAACTTATGCCTCTCACTTCTCTGGGAGTAGCAGTGGTCACCATCATGCCCAGCTATTCAGCTACTGATTGAGATGAGATGGGAGTCTCCCGTACTTTTTGTCCAGGCTATCCTCAAGCCATGCCTTTCCTATGTCCACTTCTTGAGTAATTAGGATTACAAGTGTGCACCACTGGTGCTCAGCCTTATTATTATTTTTTTAGGTGAAAAATGCTTTCAAATTTCTGAATATCATTGCGTTCCTTTAAAAAAGTCACCTGTTGCCATGCCACATACACTTGGTTGAAACTTTTGGAATGAAAGGTTCTGGACAGGAGTGGAGCCTGGCATAGACTCAAGCCCCAGGCATCCCCCAGGAGTTGGTGGAGAACTGGATTCCCTAAAAAAGACAATCTGGTCAGACTTAACCCGTTGTTCTCTGAGAAACAGTAGTTCCAGTGTGACTGCAGCTCACCACAGTGACCCAGGGCCCAGTGGCAGTGCCCTGACAAGTCCCACCTGGGAGAGCGTCTGTCCTGCCTCCAGGCCAGTTCAGGCCTGCCATTGTATACAACAACTCTTGTTTCCTCCTCTAACAAGCAGCTCAGTATCCAACCACCATGGGAACCCAGTCCGAGAGGCACAATGGAGAGGAAGCTGCCAAAGCAAGCGTTTGGAAAGGAGCAGAGATCACAGCAGGCAAAGCAGCCATAAAGATGTGTCTGCAAGGAGTCCTTAGCTGGGTTCAGCAAAGAGAGGGCGGTGCAGGTGGGTGGAGCACTTCCATAAAGCTGCCTGTGGTGGATAGATGGCTTCTGATTTGACATCGACAACAGAATAAGGGACTGCAAGTTCAATGAATAGTCTCTGGCCAGAGAAACAAGGTCAAACGCTTAAGTTTCTGCACTTCCAGTGGTTCCTGGTATTTCCAGCTGAGTGGACATCTTTCTGTGACCAGTGGGTGCCACGCCACCTTCTGCGGAGTCTGCGTGAGAGATTGTGTTGGACAAAGAGCTTCAAGGAAGCATGACCCCAGGAAGGGGGTGTTGGTTCAAGGCTTCCCTTACACTTGGCTGCACCTTTATAGCCTCTACCTTTATTCTTACTATATTCTTCTTGGCTGTACATTCGTTGCCTTTATTCTCATTTTGGCTATTTTTCTATTTATCCGCAAAGAGAGCATGCTGTATTTTTCCAGTCCAATAGAGATGGCTTCTCTAAGTAATAAAGACTAAGGCCAAAGATTAAATGTGGGCAATGCCCCAATCAATCTATCATCTGATGTGACGTTGCCTCCAGAAACTCCTACAACTTCACAAGCGGTTTTGCAGCTCACGCATAGTAAATATAGACTTAAAATTTCTAGATATGTCCAACAGACAAAAATCAATAAATTAAACTAAGTTAGAAAAAGTTATCCTAGTAGTTTAGAGAGTTCTAAAAAAGAAGAGACTTCTGATTATATAAGAAAAAGAAAGATTCTCCCAACAGTTATGATTAAGTTTAGTCCAACTTACGTTATAGGGAATAGATGGTGTTTTCACACAAAATATATAGTAACATATTTTCTGAACCAACCAAGAACCATTTCCTTATACAGGAGCTTATAAAGATAAAATTAGTTGGATAAAAATAAAATTAAAAAGAGTATAATGTAAGTACAGCCCTGTCCTAGGTTTGTTAATTATTAAACATAAAAAGGCTGAATAGATGACGTATTCTATTAAACAATATGCTAGACTTGTTTCACACCACTTAGCTTAAACAGTTGGTGGGATAGTCATTAATTTTCATGTAATTCATCAATGCTTTGCCTTTAAAAAAAAATTGATTACGTGTTTAAATAAACAAAGAATCTATGTCACAATCACACACTGTATAAAAATGTTAATTCTCCTCAATAAAGATACACTCAGATACAACTCTTTTGAGTCTGTGTCTGTTTGTCACTTCGCCGACTCCTTTGCCCACCTATCCCGAGATCCCTGTCCCGTAGGTCCCAGTGCTCCGGCCGAGCTGGTCTGTCGCAACCTGTAGTGCACTAGTGAATTTTACCTTGTGCATGCAGCCTTTCCCCCTCTAGACACCAACTTTACTTGTAACTTTTTATTAGTTCAAAAATATTTACCTACCAATAGGGTAGGGACTGTTCTAGGAATAAGACAAAGAGGTAAAATGAATATTTTTATTCATAAATTTGTGTTTATAATCTTAAGATAATCAGAAGTAAAAATATCAAACCAAAGGATATAAAATGTTTAAATATTCTTGGTATTCTGTCAAAATTTCTAATTTTTTTCTTCTACTCGTAGTATATGAGGCTGCTTTAAGGCTTAAGAATCAGCTAAGCCCGTGTTGAGTTGGCATTGTACAGAAATTAATAGCCATATTGGTCTAGAAATGTTAAACTTAATTTTTTTCCATTTGTACAGGGGTAAACGCACTGTATTAAATATGTAAGATCTTATCTACGTGGGTTTGATTACAGAAACAAATAAAGTATTTTCTAAAAAAAAAAAAAAAGAATCAGCTAAGCAAAATAGAACACCTATGGTTGGAGGCATGGCTCAAGTGGTAAAGTATCTACCTAGCAAGCACAAGGCCCTGAGTTCAAACCTCAGTACAACTGAAAAAAAACGAGCAAGTCACTGTTTTTGCTTTGCACTTCACTCAAGACTGAAGGTGACCCTTCGCCAGCACTCTCTACTTTCTCTATTACCATGTTTCCCATTGCTTTCATATCCCTAAGTCCTTGGTGACACAAACAAAAGTATTTACCTAGACCTCAAATCTAGTTATCATTTAGCATCTCTGTGTCAGCTGTGGGGCTTGAACTCTGGGCCTGGCCACTTCCCGAGCTCTTCAGCTCAAGGCTAGTGCTCTACCCCTTAAGCCACAGCACTACTTCCAGTTTTCTGGTGGTTAAATGGAGCTAAGAGTCTCATGGACTTTCCTGCCTGGGCTGGTTTGAACCATGATCCTCAGATCTCAGCCTCCTAAGTAGCTAGGATTACAGGCATGAGCCACTGGCACCTGGCTTCAGTGCTTCTTTCTGCAGTGCTGTGAATGGAACCCAGGACTCACCAAGTTATAGCTGTGGCCCCACACCTAAATTTGAAGCAGCTCAAGTTCTTCCCAACAAAACTTAAAAGCTCTCCATATGAGATCTGCACATTCTGACAGACAATTAAATCCATTCTTCTCTACTATGAGGCTCAGGTGAACCTGCCAAGAGTAGAACTTTTATTCTTACACACAAAAAAATCTGAGTTAATGAAGATTACTATTAATGGCAAAACAAATAACTTACCCTCTCCTACAAGTGGCAGAGAGGAAAGGCAGAAAACAGATCATCATGGAGAAGGAAATTAAAAAAAAATATTTTGCTATTACTAATTAGGGTCTTCTTCAAGAATCATGAAATCTATTTTTAAGGCTTCCAATCAAAGTTCTGAAATGAAGACTGACTTTTTACTTACCAGAACAAGCCAACAAAATACAACGGCAAAGCTGTGGTGCTTCCTGACTGCCGGGTGAGTCTAGACTCTGGAGCAGACATTTTTCTCTTCTTCAGCTCTTCCACCAGCAGTCCCATGGGATTTATTATCCTCCACATTTCGAAGAGCTCCTTTCCAGTCATCTGAGTAATTAGGAAGTCCTGTAAACAAAATAATAATTTGTATAAAAGTACAAAGAACCTTAAAGCCAGAATTCAAAAGTACTTTTTCTCTTTGGTGCCGGTCCTGGGCCTTGAAGTCAGAGCCCAGGTGCTGTCCCTGAGATTTTTTTTTTTTTGCTCAAGGTTAGGGCTCACCACTTGGGCCATAGCTCCACTTTGGTTTTTCTGGTGCTTAATTTGAGATAAGAATCTCATGGGGTTTCCTGCCCAGAATGGCTTCAATCCATGATTCTCAGATCTCAGTCTCGTGAGAGCTCTTACAGGTGTGAGTTACTGGTACCAGGCTCAAAATACATTTTTTCACAGAAAAAAATATAGTGGAAAATTTAAGACAAATATAAACATCACTAGCCTGAAAATCTACCTCCTATATCAGTCCCTCAAGTGCCAGGACTATAGATGTGCACCACCATGCCCAGCTTGAAGCCGTTGTTTTATTTAGTGTACTAAGAATATATACTTCTAATATACATTTTATATTTCCCTCTTAACCTCCCTCTACCCACCCAGTTACAGGAATAACACTTGTTAGAGCCTAGAACCTTGCAGTGTTGACCTCATTTCTGACTTTCACCAAGCATCTACTAAATACAACACAGGTATTATCCTTCATACTAGGGATGCACAGCTAAAGATGACATGACTTGTAGTCCTTTAGCAGTCATATCCTAGAATTATTATTCACTTCTGATCATGGACTCAGTAAGACAAGTGGTATAACTAAGGCTGTACCACAAAAAAAAAAAAAAACTTCAAATTTTTGTTGAGAAAAAAAATTCATTATCAAGGTGATATGCCAGATGAATCAGAAATGTTTCTTTCTGTCCACCCATGTCTAGGCAGATGCAATTAATAATCACTCACCCTGAGGAAAAGTGCAGTCCTCTCAGGTCCACTGCTCTGGAGCAGGGCTCCAATTACTGCAAAGAAAGTCCGTTGCAATACGAGTGGAGGGACTGGAAAATCTGCACTCAGGGTTAACTGCTCCACAGCCAGGTTCCTTGCCACATGACACACAACTTCCTCCCCAGTAAGAAAGTCAACTAGACTCTTGATGCCTTCAGCAGGCAAGTCTGGGAATTCGTTTTCAAGAAATTGTGTGAGGCAGGTTTGTGAAAATGATAGGCCTTGTTCACATAGTTCTTGGTTATCTTTAAGATTCAGGAGAACAGCTTCTCTCTCAAGCCCAAGTTTCTGCCGTCTTGCCTCTTCACTTTCGATATAGCAGCTGTTCACAAATGCAGTTTTGAGGAGATCTATGGAAAAGGTTTCCTGTAAGCGGTGTCCAAAAGCTTGGATTTCAGCATGGTAATCCCAGTTGGGTTTCTCTGAACTGAAGATGTAAACAAAAAAAAGAGATGGTAATGAGCACATGTTATTTATTATCATGTAAAACTTTCTGACTGTTTTGTCATTTTCTTAAATTACATATAGGAAATGAGAAAAGGACTTTTCCCAGTGCCAGGCACTGACAGTCTAAACATAAAACCTTAACTCGGATGAATGCCCACAATCCTCTTACATTCTATATCACAGTAGGATTTAAGTTCCCTTTGACCCAACCTCTGTCTTGCAGCGATGGTTCAACATCCACTAACCGATTATGTCTTCCTTATTTCTGACCTACCATGGAATGATGATTTCCACCTAGATGTGGAGATCAATTATAATCTCAAAGATTCAGGCCATAAGTACTAAGCAGTAAGCACACTATGTTTATTTTATATTACATAGGACTTAAGTTTTGGAATTATCTACTTTAATTGGCAATTAAGTAATCTAGTACAAGTATTATGAATATGTTAAAAAGCTCCTAACAGCCAGGCGCCAGGTGGCTCATGCCTGTAATCCTAGTTACATAAGAGGCTGAGATCTGAGGATCGAGGTTCAAAGCCAGCCTGGGCAGGAAAGTCTGTGAGACTCTTATCTCCAATCAATCACTAGAAAACTGGAAATGGTGCTGTAGCTCAAACAGTAGAGAACTCGCCTTGAGCTGAAGAGCTGAGGGACAGCACCCAGGCCCAGAGTTCAAGCCCCACGACCGAACGAGGGGAAAAAAAAAAAAAACTCCTAACATGGACTGGGAATATAGTGGTAGAATATCTGCCTAACTTATAGAAGTCCCTAGGTTGGATCCCCAACAGAAATTAACTAATTAATTACAAGAATATACTGAAGCTGATAAACCCCCAATAAAAACCCTTTAAGTAGAAAAAAAAAAGGCAGCAAAATTCTGGGTTGAAAAATCATTGAATCTATGTAGATATATTGACATAATGTATAATCCATAGTTCTTCCAATTTCAAAGGCTTAAAATATTAAGCTTTCTAATAAACAAGAAAACATGAGTTACATGATTCTAATTTTTGCCTATTAGGAAAAGGACATAGTCTGCGGTAGAAGATAATTCCTACCATCAGGGGTCCAAACTGGATCAATATTTTTCTGGAATGTCAGTATGAAAGCAGTTATCAAAATTTCACATTACTAACAAATTCCCAACGAGGAGGCAAATTCAAGAATACTCGTTGTTTCATTGGTTGCAAGCAATAATGTAACACTCAAACGTTTGTAAATAAAACCATTAAGGAAAAAAAAAACAAAAAAGTAATGCCAGGCTCACACTTGTAATCCTGGATACTCAGAAGGATGAGTTCTGAGGATCGCAATTTGAAGACAGTCCAGGGAAAATCCATGAGTTTATATTCAGCTAACCACTAAAAAGCCAGAAGTGGAGCTGTGGCTCAAGTTGGTCGAGTGTTAGCTTTGGCTGCGCCCAGGGTCTAAATTCAAGCCCCAGAACCAGTACGAAGTAAAGCGCATCTGTATGTGTACTGTCTATGCCATGACATACATTGAAGTGAAAGCAGCAAGAACGCAAGCCTTATTAAGTTAACTCGTTTCTTCTGGTCAGACTACAGCAAGATCAATGAGGGCAGAAGCCGAAAGCTAAGCGTTCCTCTTCTTAACTTGGCCAGTGGGCTTGCCGGTTGTACCCAAGTAGTGCACTCGGCCCCTATTCTTCCATGCTGCGCCCTCTGGTCAGTACCCAAGGAATCCCGGGCATTACGCGACGGGGCCACAACACTCAGCCCACGAAAGGCCACCCTCTAGCCTGCACCAGCTCTCCATTCGCCTCTAGAAAGACTCTGCGGAGTGGGCAGGCTGCGGGGCCCGCGTGGCGCTCTCCCTCGGAGGCGCGCGGCCGCCCGGGCCAGGCCCCAGCGCAGCCCGGGGCCCGCACCGCCCGGGCCAGGCCCCAGCGCAGCCCGGGGCCCGCACCGCCCGGGCCAGGCCCCAGCGCAGCCCGGGGCCCGCACCGCCCGGACCCCAGGCCCCAGCGCAGCCCGGGGCCCGCACCGCCCGGACCCCAGGCCCCAGCGCAGCCCGGGGCCCGCACCGCCCGGACCCCAGGCCCCAGCGCAGCCCGGGGCCCGCACCGCCCGGACCCCAGGCCCCAGCGCAGCCCGGGGCCCGCACCGCCCGGACCCCAGGCCCCAGCGCAGCCCGGGGCCCGCACCGCCCGGACCCCAGGCCCCAGCGCAGCCCGGGGCCCGCACCGCCCGGACCCCAGGCCCCAGCGCAGCCCGGACCCCGCACCGCCCGGACCCCAGGCCCCAGCGCAGCCCGGGGCCCGCACCGCCCGGACCCCAGGCCCCAGCGCAGCCCGGACCCCGCACCGCCCGGACCCCACGGCGGGGCTCCTACCGGCGCACCGGCGGCGGCGGGCTGCGCAGGAGGCGCCGCCGCTCCAACTCCTTCTGGAAGCGGAAGGCGATGCGGAAGTCCTTCACTCCCCGGACCAGCGGAAGGAACGTGGGGGCGGCCGGAGCCACGAGGCAACGAGGCCCCTGCCCGAGTAACCTCACCAGGGAGGACGCCATAGCAGGGAAAGACGCACTGAAGGGCGGAAGGAAACCAGCCGGACAAGTGTCACAGGAACACAGGTCCCCTTCCGGTGGGCCGGGCGGAAAGAGGCTGGGGGCGGGGCTGCGCCTAGGGGGCGGGGCAGCTGCAGACAGTCCTGTTGCGCGTGCGCAGATGCTGCCCATTCGCGGTTAACCTTCAGATGTATGGACCTCAAGAGGAACTTGGAGTACAGAAGTTACTTAGTCGGATTCAGGTGGCTCATACCTGCAATCCTAGCTACTCAGGAGGCTGGGATAACAGTAGGAAACCAGCCTGGGCAGAAATGTGAAGCTCTCATCAATCCAGTTAACCACCAAAATGCCAGAAGTTGAGCCAAAGTTCAAGTAGTAGGGCACCAGCCTTGAGTGAAAAACCCCAGGACTGGCACAACAGATAATAATAATCTGTTGCTCTGTTGTTTCTTCTCAGTAAAGTATTAAAAAAAATGTTTTACAATGTGAAGACACTAAAATGATGAAATAAGAAAACATTACTTTCTGTTAAATCTTAAAGGTCCAGAACATCAATCCAAGCACTAGTAAGTAAGTATCTACTGAGTTTTACATTTTACCTGGCACAGCCTAGAAGCCTTATTCTCTCAGACCCTAGATTGGGAAAGGTGTTGGCTTAACCAGCACGGAAATTTGTATTTTAAAATGATTCAACAGTATATATGTTAAAACACTGAAGAAAAGGACTGGGGAGACAAGACATGAAAACCTTAACAGTAGAATTGAGTAACTCTGTTCTTTATCTATTTTATCTTGTTTAGAAATGTCATTATATAGCTTTAACAGGTACTAAAAAGCAGATTTTGTTGAAAAGCACTGACTCCTTACTTAAGGCCCTGAGTTAACTTAAAACAGGATATAAGCCTGACCTCCATTTTCTATCTCCTTCACTCTGCACTAGGTCTCTCTCCTGTATTACCTTGGGTTCAGAAAGTACAGGACCAATCTGGTCAAATCTATACAACCAAAACTACCCCCATGAGCAACTGGACCATCTCTGCCCTCCATCTCTAACCACTGGAACACAGATATGATTGGCACTGTTTTATAATTATGCATACCTTTTCCCGTTGCCCCCAGTTCTTCCTCTATTTAAACCTAAGGCAACCGACTGTACAAAGATGGGCTGAAATACACACTTTCCCTCTTCCTGAAGCTTGTCATGGTGAGTTAATTAAATCTGCTTCCTCTGACCACAAACATTACTTGTCTTTTTGGTATATTGAGCAAGTAATCATAAGATGTTATCTCTGGGACTCAAATGTTTCGGCCTTGAACCTTAAATTCTCATAAGACTGCTTATCAACCAAGCATGATTTAATTTTTTTAGAAGATGCAATGTCAAGTCACAAAGGGAGGCTTGTTCAGCTTCCCAGTGCTGAGTGTCTGCTGACTATCTAGGCCCTGACAGGGGTACCTGTGTCTGCTCCCTATTGAGAGGCAGTGATACCCCTGCTGCCACTCAGCTTGAACCCCTACATAACTGATGGTTCTTACTTTCACAAACACCTTTTGTCTAGTTATGAAATCTTTTGTTCAGTTCATTTCCCTAGAAGATAGCTAGCTGGTAACTCTCCTTACCACTTCCTCTGGTTACCGGTCATCAACCATGCCTTGTATCTGTCTCTCCCTGCCCAAGACAGAGTTCACCTACATTCATTTTCCTGAAACACAAACAAAAGCACCTTGCTACTGAGCTAAATAATCTTCAACTCCAGAACTGTGTAGCTCAGTTTGAGTTTCTTAGCTCAACTCTTCAAGATAGAAAGTATAAATGGCCTCATCTTAACCCATGAAGGAGTTTCCACTGAGGAAGAGAGAGAATAATGCTGTTTAGAATCTATCATAAAATGAGCCAATGGATTACTCACCTTTGTATTATACTATTTGTAAAGTCTCAGAAGTTCACAGAACATTTGCTGGAAAACTGATTTCTTTTTTTGCCAGTAAGTTCTAGGGTTTGAACTCAGCTCCTGGACATTGTCCCTGAGCTTCTTTTGCTCAAGGCTAGCACTGTACCATTTGGGCCATCGTGCTACTTCTGGCTTTTTCTGCTTATGTGGTACTAAGGAATCAAATCCAGGGCTTCAAGCATGCTAGGCAAGCACTCTACCACTGAGTCACATTCCTAACCCTAGGTTATTTATTTTTATTTATTTTTTTTGTTCATTGAACTCAGGACCTGTGTGCTATCCCTGAGCCTCTTTGTGCTCAAGGCTACCACTCTACTACTTGAACCACAGCATCACTTCCTGTTTTTGAGTGGTTAGTTGGAAATAAGAGTCTCACAGAGACATTTCTGCCAGGCTGGCTTTGAACTGCAATCAGATCTCAGCCTCCTGAGTAGGTAGGATTACAGGCATGAGCCACTGGTGCACAGCTCAGAAAACTGGATTTTTAAAAGGCACAGCGAATGTTTATTTCTGCAATATTCCATTTATTGGGAGAAATCAAAACTTGCTAAAGATCAATTATATTAACTTAAAATCAGGTACTTCTGTAGTGATAGTATTTCTCATTACTACAATGAGAGTGAATACTATGTGCAAATAAAAAATATAGGGTTCTCTAATGTACCTCACAGAGATCAGAAATTAACCTATTAGCTTTATTACCATTATAGAAAATGAGGAAATATTTATTCTGGCTCATAGTTTGAGAAGTTTCAATCCATGGTCAGATCCTTTGGTTTTAGGCCTGTGAAGCTGATGATGCTTACATCATGTCCAGGAGGATAGCAGAACATGGCTGACATATGAAAAGACAGTGAATGGCCTAGGAGCCCACAATCCCTTTAGAGGACATGATCCCAATGACGTCCCTAAAGACCATCCATTCATCTCATAAGGGATCTGCCCTCTCCTAATAGTGCCACAGGCTAGGAACTAAAGCTTAATATGTGGACATACTAGATATAATAAACTTGCTTTCAAAAGTTCTTTCAGTAGGATGAAAGTAAAACACTACATGGTTCCAGGACCCTCTTGGCTCAAAAAACTTTAAGGGCGGACAAAGGCCAATGTGATTGTTTTCTCCTGGAGTACCCTATTTTCCTTCAACCTACCATTAGCCCTAATTTGATCAGAGTTAACAAATATCAACAATCTTTCTGGGTTTTAGAGAGTCAAGGTCAGATGAAGGGTAGACAGGGTCACATTTAAGAAGAAGAGGAGAAGAGTGGGTGAGAGTTTACTTTAGCCCTTTGTTATTTTGACCCCAGGGATATCAATTGCATAGTCCCTAAGCAATCGTGTGGGCAGTTGGCACACATTCATTAGGAACACAAAGAATGACAAAGCTAGTGGGGTCAATAAGGGATTCTGCCTGGACCATCAGTGGCAAAACCTTTTTATGCCATTTGAGTATCTATAAAATAATTGACAGGCCATGCAAAATTATGAAATACAGCTAGTCAGACCACAAGCAAGTGAGAAGCGTGCAAAAGCGTACATGTCTGTGATGTCATGAACCAAATGAGTTTGGGAGTGTTCCCTAGCACGTGGACAATCGAGTGATTCAGACCCATTTGATGTTCCTGACAACTATTTCATGTTATCTAAGAAGCAGATGTAGAATAGTGGTCACTGACTCAACTCATAAGGAAAATTATGGTAGAAATAAGTCATATAAAACTGGCTAAAGTTAAAACTGTTAATTTAAAAACTAAGCTAATTGTTATTGAGGGAGTTTTAAGACTCCTATATTCAAGTTACATCTGTAGAGTCTAGCCTTAGGATATTTAATGAGGTAGATATAATAGCCAAGAAAGAGAACTTATGACAATAAAAAAAATTAGCAAAAATCCTTGGTAAGTCTAGACAATGAATAAAATCTTGTTATAGGTGAGAACAAGACTAATGAAAATGTATTATATAAGCAATGTAAAAATGAAAATACAGTTAGAAATAGGTTTTATCTGTGCTATGTAGAATATTGGTCAAGACGTTAAATTGGTGCGATGAGCTTCATTCCATAAAACAATTCCTCAAAAAAATATGTATGAAGCTGGGCACCGGTGTCTCATGTCTGTAATCCTAACTACTCAGGACTGAGATCTGCGGATTCCAGTTCAACAGCAGCCCAGGCAGCAAAGTCCATGAGACTCTTATCTCTAATAAATGACTAGAAAACCAGAAGTGGTGCTGTGGCTCAAGTGCTAGAGTGCTAGCCTTGAGCTAAAGAGCTGAGGTACAGCACCCAGGCCCAGAGTTCAAGTTCAAAACAAAACAAAACAAATACATATCAATGTGAATATAATTCTGATATAAATAACAACTTTCCCTTCTGATATAAATAAGCAAATTTCCCTTGTGTAGTAGAGAGAAATATGGTTCCCTCCTCCTGGGATTTACATCTTTTCTAGTCCCCATCTAATTTGGTTTTACATTTGGTTTATGTCAACAGTGGACTACAGCAGATGCTATCTTACTTCTGAGGTTCAGTAATCAAGTTCATTATCGTGTCCATTTTGGTCTTGTATTTCTTGGAGCATATTCCCATAGGAAAGTCAGCTGCTGTGTTTTGATGATGCAGAAGAAAGCATGTGGAAAGGCTCAGATGGTGAGTATCTCAGGCCATCTGCCATCAACCACGTGAGAGAACCATGAGGAAAGTGAATTCTCCAGCCCGTCCTGGCCAACACCTTACCTACAACCTCATCAGAGACCTTGAGGCAGCATAACCAGCTATTCTACTCCTAAATTCCTGCCCTTTGGGAACTATGTGAGTTAAGAAGTATTGGTTGCTTCAAGCTGAGTTGGAAGTCATTTGTCACATAGCCACAAATAATATATCTGCATGGTGTTAAACCAAGGGTGTCATACACAAATATAGTGGGTATTCCTGAGACTTAGTGAAAGGTTTCTGAGTATTGGGTCTAGATGGATGCAGCATATGGAAGAGATAGAGATGCAAAGCCACTTAGGTCACAACTATTGTGACATTGTAGGAATGAAATGAAAAGCTTCCCCTGCTCTCTGAAGGTGTACTGGAATGAGCTCAAAA